GCCGTGATCTTCCGAGCTTAGATTGGTTAACAGATTGGACATTTAATCTTTGGTTTCACAGATTTAAATCTCGAGTCAGCTTTGTGGGTGCCGCTCGACAAAGACGCAAAATAGTGATAGGAACAGATTTACCGGAAAATTTTCCTTTTTCAATTGAAATTGAGGTGGTTTGGTTGGCGTTTTACAGAGACAGTGAACTTAATACTGAGCAAGTTTCCAATAACGTCAGAAAGCTTTTGCTACTCTTCCTTAACGAGACCTCGCTCCGTTAAAGGATCCCGCTTCCTGCTTCCCCCCTTCCCCCCCCCCCCCTGCTCTGCACCCCATCATTAGCTTGCTCGTATCCACACGAGCACGTACAAAGCAACTGACAGAGACTGTACGTTTCCGTAACCGGTTTTCCTATCTATAACAGTTCCTTTAAGAAATCCATAGTCAACGACATACACTATCTACAAACACTCGCAAACCTATGAGAGCAAAAATGGCGATAGCTTTTAATTTTGCAGTCATACTCATGGCTCATATTGAGAAACAGCTACTAACTAACTGCAAGCCACATAAACCATTTCTTTGGAAAAGGTACATTGATGACATTTTTTGTGCGAAACCGAAATCAACAACTTCATTGAGTTTGCTTAGTCATTCTCAGTCACTTTTAGATTCACGCACGAAATGTCACCAGAAAAATATTTTCTCGATACTGACGTTTCTAAAGGACCGAGATTTACCGATAGCAACTGAATCCTTGATGTTTAAACGTAGTACAAGCTGACAGAAACGTGCCAATATACACACTTCTCTTCATTCCACCTTCTCAGTGTTAAGAAGGGTTTTGTAAAATATGAGAGGCACTACGCTTACTGAGAACAAACTCTGTTAAAGAATCTTTTGAGTAAAAGAAGAAAGAATTTTTAACTTGCCCTATAGAACGAGGCTACTCTCAGGACCACGTCGCAAAGATCCTTGCCGATGCACAATTCTCATCACGCAACAAAAAAACAAACCGAAACCACATAAAAAGATTTTGCCGTTCGTTGAGACTTTCAACCCTGCTGACCAGAATCTCAAAAAGATTCTCATGAAACACAACTTGCGGTGATGTCGAATCTGATTGGTCAATTTGCCGTTGTCGATAAGAGCACAGTCACGATCTGGGTCACGAACTGAAAGAATCTTTTTATTTGACTTCGATATTGTGGTAACAAACAAAGCGTCAGATGTTTAGCGTGGTCTGCACTTTAATAGACAAGTATGTTTGTCATCACAGATCTTAAAATTTGTTGCGAGCTAACGGAGCGCAGCCGAGTGAGTCCACCATTTTTTGACCTCTGTGATGACGCATATAGTTGTAGAGAAGAGTACAGACCGATGTCCATTTGTTAAATCGAATATGGTTGATGAATTTGTTGGAACTCTTGTGCGAATAACGGCTCCATTATTTTTCTTGAAAGTACAGGATCATTAGCTTTTAGTTAAATCCAGCACTGTATATTCTTATCATATTCTGTAAAGTACATCCACAGGTTCACTTTAGTGTCACTTTGATCTATTTTTCGGTGATCAAAATGTTCACGAAGGAGTCACAAGTAAAATTATTCTTAATTCAAATTACGGTTTTCTGTTTTTTACGATCGATGACCTAACTTACGTGTAGCCGTACTCTCCCCCCGCCAAGGTGAAACGGAGGCAAGGCAGCGTCCCTTTCACGTTGGGGGGAGGGTACGGCTACACGTAGGCTGTCAATAACCAAAGCTGGAGTTTTAGTGAACTGCGCACTCTGCCGGTGCTGGGCCTGGGTACTCAGCTGTTTTTAAAAATGGCGGCGCGCGAAGTCGCATTATAAAAACGCGAACGCAAGCGTTCCTCAACGAACGGTAAAATTACTCCTGGGAATGTTAGGGTACGTAAAATCGAAGTTTCCAATAAAGTTTAAAATGCACATTTTGGTATGGCATAATGGCATGTGTTTTCCGCCGGCTTCCTCTTTGTCCCAAAAAACTGGTCAGCAGCAGTAGCCACTGTTTGGTCATGCGCGAAACCCTTCACGTGCGCCTGGTAGAAATTATATTGAAGGATTCCCTGAAGTATACGGACTATGATGTTTTAGCTTGAGAAATGGGTTTAGCGACACTTTTGATCCAGCGATCTGGACTTCGCCTTCTTGCTCGTAATGTAAGATCTCCAACCTTGATGTTTAGACCGTGATATAAGTTTTTGTTAATTCTTGCGAAACGGGAATCCTAAGTCACGAAGAAGTGAAAAGCTTACATAATCGTACATCTTTCTCAAACAGTTAGGACTATCGTATCGGTTGTGATTTGTTAAAATCAGAAAGTTATTGAAGTGTCTTAAGATCGATGCAACGAGAGAATCAAAAATCAAAACAGTAATTTGATTTTAAACTGATTATTCTTGTATTTTAATTAATATGGGAAATAATGACTCCAGATCGAGTTCGATAATCAATATGAGGGAGTGAAAGTTGCTCGTATTTGTACCGTTGTATCTGATTTGTATTTGTTGTACTCCTCTTTGGTTAGTAATTTATCCTGAATCTCGTGAACAAATGTTTTTTTTTTGTAGGTTAAGGTTCGTTTTTTTGCCTCTGGAGTAATGGTTAGTGCTCAACGTTCTCAGGGAGATAGACAGTTTTTGACTTCATGTTCACTGATGTTAAGAAAATATATATTTTTTTCTTGATTGTATTACAAGGACCAGTCTTTCTGTTGATGTTTTCCCTTGAGTTCAACAGTCAGTGATAACTTTCACAGGCTGTTCATTAACCCTCTGACTCCCAGAAGTGATTAACATGTCACTTCTCCCTTCAACATCCATCCATTCACAGACTGTTCATTAACCCTCTGACTCCCACAAGTGATTAACATGTCACTTCTCCCTTCAACATCCATCCATTCACAGGCTGTTCATTAACCCTCTGACTCCCAGAAGTGATTAACATGTCACTTCTCCCTTCAACATCCATCCATTCACAGACTGTTCATTAACCCTCTGACTCCCAGAAGTGATTAACATGTCACTTCTCCCTTCAACATCCATCCATTCTCCAGCAAACAGTTAATGAGAATACTCAAACTTATCTGGTATCTTGATCAAACACCAAGTTCTTATTACTAAAGTAAAGTAATGTTGATTTCCCCCAAATTTTCTCTTGCAAACCTACTGACTGTTTAGGAATGCCAAGCTACTCCAAAAATTATTGTGGTGTTTTAGAGAACAAATTTTCTAAGCATTTACTTAGATCCTATGAAATCGCTAGGTGAGAAATGTTTCAGAGTTGTTGAAAACCTTGTAATTTTATAGTATGCATCTGCTCTGATAATTTGTGCTCTATAGTAAAAATCCAAAATAATTTTTGGAATTACTTAATTAATATTTATAAACTAATATTTGATACTCTAAAGAATAATCTTTCAGTAGAAATTTTGTGAAAATAATTATTTGACTACCTAGCATTTAAACACAGCCTTATCTTTTATTCTCAATGAATGATATTCTCCTGTTACTTTACCCTATTTCCAGCTACTACTAACATTAATTAGCGAAAACTTAAATTTTTTCCTTAGTGTTCATTCATGAATACAGGCCCTTGAAATTGGGGAATTTTTTATTACTGGATGCCATGCGTAATTTTGAAACATTTCTTTTCTATGATCAGCAGTAATGTTACAATTTGATCGACCAATTTGCTGTTGTTGATAAGAGCATGAGCAACGCTGCTTGCATCAACTGGTCATGCAATGCCTTTATCACTGAAAGAATCATTTTGTTTGACATCATTATTGTGGTAAAAAAGGAATTGACAGGGGTTTAGCATGGTCTCTATACAATGTTCATCATCACATTGCTCAAAAGTTTTTGCTGATTCACCTGGCTGGGCCACATGAGTCTGTAGCAAATTTTGACCTCTGTGATAATGAATATCATTGTCGATAAGAGTACAGATCATGCTAAACCACTTTCAATTTGTGAATTGGGCATGGCTGTGTACATTGGGCATACATGTAACATTGTCTCCTTTTTTTGACAGAAGGATGTGTCAAAAATCAGAAATATTGGTATATCTGCCCATATTGACTCTGGAAAAACCACACTCACAGAGAGACTTTTGTTTTATACTGGAAGAATCAGTCAAATGCATGAGGTGAGAACAATGGACTTTGATTTGCCCTTAGAAATGCTTTCAACATTACCAATCCTACTTTGCAGGATGCATCTCACATGTGGACCTTGTAACAATTGAGCTAACAGCAAAGTCTCTGTGACTCAGTAGTAGATCATCAAAGAGGTGAATCTGAAGGTCTGAGATTCTATTCCTCACAAGGATTCTAAATTTTCTTTCAGTTCCATGCTTATGACTAGAGGAAAAAAAAATCTTTCACTAATTGACTTTGATGTTTGTTTTAACAGTTCAAAGTTTAATTTCCATGGGTTTTGCATGATTATACAAATAATGATTTTTGCCCTGTGGTTTCCTGTTGAAATCTTTACTGCAGTTATTTTTCCTCAGTGTGTTATGGATCAAAATTTACTTGAAGTTTAAGTGATATCAAACTTCTGTAGGTTGATAGGAATTCTGACAAGACCAAAAAAATTTTTCACTAATGGATTTTGATACACATTGTAACAGTTCAAAGCCAATTTCCCATGGGTTTTGAGTGATCATACAAATAGTGATTTTTGCCCTGTCTCAACATGTGTTGTGGATTGAAATTTACTAAAAGTTCAAGAGGTGTCAAACTTCCATAGGTTGAAGAGAGTTCTGATAATATCTCTGAAACAAAGACTTTGTTAATATCAAGTTGATGTACAGTTTAAACCACAGCTTCTGCAATCAATTATTTCTAAATAGCAAAGGTTTGAAAACTTGCAGTAATAATATTTGATTGTGTTGTCTGATTGTCCGGGTTAGAGTAGGCCTGGAAAGGACTGCTGTCGGCAGTAAAGACTGATGATTTGACAACCTTGGTGGAAGTCACCACTTGTGTCAAATGATTATGACTTTATGACTTCCACTTGTTATGGATAGTGACCGTAGAAATAAGTATCTAGACATTTTCTGCTAAGAATGTTTTGTCATGCTGAGAAGCATTCCATGGAACATAACAGAACATTTCATTAGGTCATGCAGTCATGATGTAATACCAGTCCACTGAGATAGTCGTGTTGTAAGTTTCCGGAATGTTCTAGAATACTTTGTAAATGTCCATAAGGACTCAGTTGTGTAGTAGTAGTTGTTGTTGTCAGAAGTGGATGACTGCTTGGAAAGCTATACACAGAGTGAGAGGGCTATAGTGAAGATTGTTTAATTCAAGGAACTTTGGAGAAAACTGTGAGTTTGTGTCAGTGGTGAGGCAAGACACAGATTGTTGTGGGCTTAAGTAAGTTTATTGAGGATAATTACTGTATTTCCTGTTGGACTTGCTCTGCATCAAAAATATTAAAAGTTGTTTAATAAAGTAGTGAAGTCTAAAGGAGTATAGCATTCTTTCTGTTTGTTAGATTATACTGTAACACACTGGTATTGTTAAAACTTGAGTCACTTCTACCAACAACAGTCCTTCAGGGAACCACTCTCACCAGTATGATCAGACTTCTTACGACAAACAAATGTGAAGATACAAGATACATAATCTCACTGTAGCTCCAAAGCATGATACAGTATATCTCAGGTTTTTTTTATACCTTATTGACAAGAAACAAATTCTTTGCTCAAGAAAGATGCATCAATATATCCATGAATTAGATTTGGTTGTTTGGTATTCATCCTTATTTTCTAACCAGGTGCGAGGTAAGGACAATGTAGGAGCCACTATGGATTCCATGGATCTGGAACGACAGCGAGGAATAACCATACAGGTTGGTATTAAGTAACAGTACTATGATTAATTTAATAAACTACAGTTCAAATGTATGACATTCATATAATCACAGTCATTTATTGATCACCAATGGATTTATTACAAACCAACAAAGTGACCAACTCCCAGTTGGCTTGTTATAGCCTTGTAGCTCAGTTGATAGAGCATTGCACTGGTATCCCAGAGGTCATGGGTTAAAATGTATAGGCCTGAATTTTTCCAAGGTTTTGTTTTCAGTGCTGCTTTATCATTGTGAATTCAAATATATGATATTCATACACATGTAACCACAGTTGAATTTCAAATGTCAGGAACATACAGTTTGAAGATTGTATACATGGTTACCATAGCAACATTAGTACATCTTTTGTAGTATGTTCACAGGGCATTGTGAAGATGCTATGTCTTAGATACAGCAGAAATTCTGTTGTTTCAATATTATCTGCATAATGAAATAAGATTCTTTATATATTTTAAGAAGATACAACTAGATATGTATGTTGTGTTTTAGTCTGCAGCAACATATGTCAATTGGAAAGATACAAACATTAACATTATTGACACACCAGGTGAGTCTATCAACCATTTACATGTACAACCTAACATGGGGGTGGGAATTTTAATGAGTCCATCTTCAAAGGTTCAAATGCGTGGGGAATTGCCAGGAAGAGGAGGGGGGGGGGAGGGAAGGGGGGTACTGAAGCTTGGACTTAAGTGATACTTTAAAACCAAATTAGAGAGTGAGAGGGGTAAGTTTCTCATTGATTTTTCAAGTTTTTTTTTAATTGTGGCACAATGACAATACTCCATTACCTTCCCTTACTATGTTAAAAAAAGGAAAGAAAAAATTACATTCACAAGGAAATATAATGGGTACTAACAACACAAAATAAGCAAGGAAATTAAAAAATATATATGAATGGTGGGCAGCTCCAATCAAATCAAGCAGCCCCCCTTGATTTTTCAAGTCTGATTAATGAATTTTTACAGCTTTAAATTTGCTGACAAAATTTTCACAATCATCAGGACACGTGGATTTTACAGTAGAAGTGGAAAGAGCCCTGAGAGTTCTTGATGGTGCCATCCTGGTGTTATGTGCTGTTGGAGGGGTGCAGGTTAGTGTCGTAGTCTCCTGAGTTAAGAGTTTAAGGCTTCTTCCTGTCTGTCTCCAGGCTTCTCTATTGCCCACAGCTGTGATTGATTGCAATAGTGTTTTTGAGTGGTGGTCCATTCTCAGGATGTGACCCAGCTGAAAGTGAGAAAGCAGTAAATTTTGATAATCAGTAGCACAGAATATTGTAAGTTGTTGGTGAGAGATGTCTGTGAATAAGAATTGGCATTTGAATGAAAAAATGAACACAACAGAGAGTATGGCAACTTCAGTACAATGTTCTTCATTTTTTAATGTAATTATGCTGTAATAGCTACTCGGAAGAATCTGAGAATTTAAGTAACATTCATTAGGTGCTACTACACTGTAAGCCAAAACTGTTACATGAAAGTGTCAGTCCTTGATTTTCAGGCAAGTGTTGGCATATTGCAGATCCTAGAGGCTACATGTACCATCCTTATAAAGCTACAACATTTGGTTTATCAAGTAGCCATGATTAAAAAGATGGTAGATGCCGACAGAGACCAAAGAATTGGTCACTCTCATGTTGGAGAAGTCTGTCATTGAACACTATAACCATATATGATTGTTAAATTACTAATGGTTCTGTTTGTTTTCTTAAACAGAGCCAGACGTTGACAGTAAATCGTCAAATGAAGCGTTACAATGTACCCTGTATTGCCTTTATCAATAAACTTGACAGGTAACATGTTAAGGAATCTATTTTTTATTGGAAATTTTGGTTTTCTGTAAATCTTTGAAGTAAAGCCCCCAGTAAGCGCCCCAGCCTATAAAAAAGTGTTCTTGAAGTTCCTATCTACAAAAATTAAAAGAAACGCCTTTCCCCACAAATTAAGTTTACCCACCATAAATAAGTAAAGTCAATTGTAGCTTTTCAAGTAAGGCTAAACAGTTTTCTAAATTCAACTTAGAACATCAAGCTGTTAGATTGTAAGTTAACAATGTTAGCATAGTAATTAGTTTTTGAATGAAAAAAGTGCTTTTCCTTCTTTAAGCTTTTTTTACAGATGAGTGATCAGTTTTTCTAAAATTGTTTTGTGTGCAATTGTAGTTTGAACATTAATGGCACTTATTTTCAATTTGAAGTTGTGTTGGAAAAATGACTACAATCCAAGCACGGTCCAATTGTTAAAAATTGTTTTGGATTATAGATTATCAGTACTAAGTTATATTGTTAACACCCAAATTTCCTCCAAGAAAAGATCATATCTGGCCAAAATTTGAAAAACAAGTGAAGCCCTTGGGTTTTCCTTCTTTTGAAGAGGCACCTCCATCTTGTCCTAAATTTCAAATAAATGCACTGGGGCTGGGGATTGAATGGCTGCACTTTTGGTTCTTGAAGTCTTGCATTTGATCCACATATAGACCTTACTGTGAAGTGCAACATTGTCTGTAGGCAGCTGTAAACAATAAGAATCAAATTAGCTACCATATGCATCTGGGAGGCAAAAAGTGTGTTGTCACTTGAAAGTCCTTTCAGGATTTTCCTTGGTAGAATACACTTCATACTTTGAATGATATGAAAGTCCAAAATTGATGTCTATTTTTCCTTCTTTTTTTTCAGAATGGGAGCAAATCCAGCCAGAGTTTTAAGTCAAATTAGGTAAAAATGGTCACAGTGTTTGTTGTTTGATTTTTTGTTGATTTACATTAAAGAGGAGCATGTGATAAGTATAGCATCTTGATTTTCAAAATATTGATAAGGCTCTTCTTTGTATTTACATAAAGATAACACATTTGGGTAGGAACAGTACATTACATTCTTCACAAACTACATGTCTGGCCAAAACTTTTATCTTACTGAGATATTGCAATGTGTGTTTGGGGGGCCCCCCCAAAAAAAAAAAAAAAAAAAAAAAAATTCTTGAGAGTGATTGAAATGATAAGGTGAATGGAATGAATGATGGAGGGGAAAGAATGTGGAACATTGTTTTTGTCATAAAAAAGTTAAAACCCTGTTGTAAAGAAGGAACAAGGTAAAAATTTCTGTGAATACAAAAAATGAGAAACAGAACAATGTGTGTGCAAAAAATGACCTGAACAGTGTAGCATTAAACATTTCAACTGTGAGGCTACAATTTGAATTCCTACGACCATGGATTGGATGACACTGAGATTTGCGAGAGGTGACAAGAACAATGGAAAAGATCATCCACTACATTTGAGAAGATGCTTGTTACATTTTCATCTGTTTTTTTTTAACTATATAATTTGTATGCTTATTTTGATTATTTCATTAGAACTTGAAAATGACCTTGGAATGTGGAAATAATGCTTGTTTTTATCGCTGATTTTTACTACACAATCTATATCAAAGAAACTAATTAAAAAAACTGAAAAAAATTCTTTTCCCTAGAGCAAAGTTACAACACACTGCAGCCTTCACCCAGTTGCCAATTGGTTTGGAATCTGAGGTAAAAGGAGTCATCGACCTTGTGCGCTGGAAGGCTTATTACTTTGAGGGAAATCATGGGTAAGATTATTCATAATGTCATGACTTTTATTTTATTTTTATTTAGCTGTTTAGCCAATCACATGGCTAGAAATTAAGTAACCCTGCTCCAGTGATTATTAAGTCACCATAACTTTGAGCTAAAAAAGTCTCCCAAAAAATTAAATTATGGTAATTGGCTCTGTCATTGTTATACAACTACTGCTGATTTAAATTATTACCGAACAGGTCTGAAGTGGTAGAAGGTGTGATCCCTGAAGACATGGTCAATGAGTGTACAACAAGAAGACAGGAGCTGATAGGTACATGTACAATCTGAGTATTCTTTTTTTTTTCAAATGTTTTGTTTGAGTTATGATAATGACCAATCAGAACAAAGGAAAATATCACAGGGAGCCAATGGGAACTCAACGTGAAATGAAGTAAAATTAAGTGTTGGAAAATGCCAGTCATCAAGTCCTGATTATTTCAAGTTTTGAACTTGATTGGATCAGAGCTCAAGAGAAAGGGGAAAATTTTCTGGACCAATCTCCCATCAAATATCAATACAACATCAAGCAAACAAGTGATGAGAATAAAGAAAACTATCAATTAGGGGATTGTTAGTTGATCCAATACCAAATTCTTCAATCTTAAGAATTGTCCATCATAAGAATTGTATGGCAAACAGTAACAAGAATTACTTATTAGATTTTTCAGTCAGTGTTAAAGTGCTTAACCCTTCAACTCCCAGATCAAATTTGTAATTCTCCTTACTGTCAACTATGCAATTCCTATAATGTTAGTTCAGAGAATTTAGTGTTGGATCAACTTAGTATCCCCAAATTATCGTCTGTTAAGTGCTGTGGTTTGTAATCATTAGAAACTGTGGCTAATGTGGATGACACTCTTGCGGAGATGTTTCTGGAAGAAATACCACCTACAGAGGAACAATTAATTGTAGGTATTTTGAAAATATTAGGGCTGGTATATGGATGGATGGATTGAGCTGTATATTCGATAGATTTCCTCTCTCTATATTGGGCTGAATTACATACGCATTTTGAGTGGTTCATGCCCATGATATATAGAACAGACGTACAGATTATATCACTATCAACGACATTTTACGTTTTTATCATATAAAACAAATACTGTTGATTCTAACAAGGTCATTTGTTACTATCAGCTGAGTTGATAACGTAAATTGGCCACCGTTAAGAATTTCAAAGCTGACGTTTCGAGCGTCAGCCCTTCGTCTGAGCGAATGACGAAATGCTAACGCTCGAAACGTCGGCTTTGAAACTCTTAACGGTGGCCAATTTGCGTTATCAACCAATTTCAACAATTGATAATACCAAATTACCTTGTTATACTCTCCCAGCAACGCAGCACCACAGTTTCTTTCGAAACGTACCCCTTGAGTCTATGTTGCAGTGGGTTTGAATTGTAAGGAATCGCAGAATGAAGAAAAGCCGGCAGGCTCCCCCTCCCCGTCCCCTTAGCTCAAGGTCTGGATCCGCCACTGATGTAACTGCAGCTGAATAAGGCTTGATAATACTATAAGATTGCTTTAAACTCGCAGAACAAGAACTCCATCCAAAACTCACCCTAAGAAATGTTTATTGTATTAGGCTGCCATTCGCCGAGCGACCATAAGGAGATGCTTCACTCCAGTTTTTGTTGGGTCTGCACTGAAGAACAAGGGGGTCCAGGTCAGTGTCTGCTATGTAAATGGTTGAAAAAAGAATGGGACATTCTTCTTTTTTTTTTTTTTTTTTTTTTTTTTTTTAAACAAGAAGATTCGTCAGAGAATAACTGTAGTTGCTGGCGAAGGTTACTGAACCCCAGTCAGGTCACCTTATTTTTAACCAGATGCGTGCTCCACCTCAAAGCCACAGAGGACTTGATCAATACGATGCATAGATAAGGCCGAGTAGGATGAATGTCGTAACTAGGAGGCAAAATCCTAGAAAGAGAAACAACAATGGTTTAACATAACAAAAGAAACAAACAAAAAAATTTATTTGTTTTAGCAATTAAAATACATCTCTGAAGATCCCTACTCGCAAAATAGCGAAGCTAATCGAGGTGGTAGGGAAACACACACAAAAATAAATTCTTCAATAACAAGTTTGAATGAACAAAGGAAATGACAAGGAGAGCTTGCATATACACGAACAATGAAAAACAGTTCACAATAGTTTACAGATAAGCCAATTGGGCATTACATATTACAACTGGAATAAAATTACACGCGGAAAAAAACAACAACAACAACATCAACAAGAAATGAAACTGAAAAGATTGTAATTTCCTAAATTTATCAATTAAAGTACAAACATCAACTAAGTATCCTCTCGCATCCAAATGTTCAGCAGCTGTCTATACAATAGTCTTTTAAATTTATACATAGGTAGAGAACGAAGACAGGTGGGAATGCTACTCCAGATCCCTGCATCCAGTCCTGAAAAATAATTTTTCGTACGCTCTGTTTTCGCGTGGTTAAGATAGAGCCTGCCAGCCTTTGAGGACCTTGTAAAATTGTAGTGTTTTTCTGAAGAATAAATAAGTAATTCTGAAATATCAGGAGGCGTTAGGTTGTAGACAAAATCATGGATAAAAGAGCAGATTGTTTTTAAATAGATCAGATGAAGAAGAAGTATACGAGTGGACATTTTGCTCATTGTTTCTATTTTTCTTCGCCCCGACGAGGCTTCGAAAAAGACAACGGAACTCGCAAAATATTATATGTATTATATGCTAAACCATCTAGTAGGGTGAATGTATTGGACACGCCAACAGGTCTCACTGCATTAAAAATGTTTTTCTGTCCATCAGCCTCTCCTTGATGGTGTTGTGGATTACTTGCCTGAACCTTTTGAGGTGACAAATTTTGCCTTGGATGCTGAAAAGTGAGAAGTCAAATTTATTTGCACCGTTACAAATATCATTTTTAGGTGTAGTTAATGTAAACAACATGATACTTGTCAGGAAATTTGGGACAGCTGTGTTTAGAAATAATTATTATTTTAAAGACCCGTGGGTTTATAAAAGGGATGTTTAATTTACTGTAACAAGATTGTTTTATGTCTCTGCAAATTCAAAGAAATTTAGAGTAAGGGTTAATTTCACAGATCAGGAAATAAGAAAATAATTTAGATGAAAGCATTATTGGTACATAATAGATTGGATTTAGCGATGGATATTTACGTGATTTTCTCTTGTTGGTAGTTTCCAAGTTGAATTGGAATTCGAAGTTTTAGTTTTTGTGAAAGCCAGAGGAACTATCAGATCACGAACAACAACCAACAACTGCCTTGAAGAAATATAAATATGTTTGCCCATTAATCTCTGTTATGACAAGAGGATTTGGTTTTCTCAACTTGAGTTAAGTTGAGAATGTAAATTGGTCACCGTGGAGAGATTCTAAAGCTGACATTTCCAGCGTTAGCCCTTTGTCAGAGTGAAGGGTTAATGAACTCCGTTGATGAAACCAAATCAGTATCTTGTAATACCTAAAAGGGGTAAGTTCTAAGGAAACTGTGGTGCTGCGTCGGTGGGAGAGTATAACAAGAGATTATAACTGACGTTTCGAGTGTTAGCCCTTCGTCAGAACAAATGGCAAAGGGCTAACGCTCGAAACGTCAGCTTTGAAACTCTTAACGGCGGCCAATTTACGTTATCAACTCAGTTGATAATACTAAATTACCCTATCTTGTAATAACCCTCGCTTATACAGCACCACAGTTTCGTTAGAAACTTACCCCCTTTATTCATTAATCTCAGTTATAAACAAGCTCAAAACACAAAGCATGAAATTGTTATTGTCTAAGTGGATTTTTTTATCGTAGTGCTGGAGAACAAGTAGAGATGAGCAGTGAAAGGAGTTCTTCTCATCCCTTCGTGGGTCTGGCTTTCAAGCTCGAGGTGGGGTGTTAAATAAAGAGTTTTGTATGTAAACCCCTTCTATGGAATAAATAACTGACTGCTTGCAGCGCATGCGTCTTATTAGGGCAGGTAACAAGCATGTTAGGGTTACAGCAGAAGTTGGGAGACTGGGAAATTTCTATTGCCCCACTCCCTCCCCTCTCCTTTCCTTTGACCGTCGCTCACCCCCTTGGAACAAATTTTTCTCTTACCCTAGCCTTCCTCTGCCGTGAAAATCAAAGATGGCAGCCACAGCTTTCAACGAGAAAAGACTTGGCACTCGCTCGCCAAAATTACGCTTGCTCTGCAGGCTAATGATGAGAGGTAATTTCTGCAAGTGCGAGCAAGCGCTCTTTGATCTCACTACTCAGATAATTTTGGTGCTCTTAGTTTTCTGAGTCTCACGGTCACTGCAAAGTGTTAAAAGATTACGGGACTTACTGCAATGAAAGCCAAATACGCTGAATTGTCGAGCCCTTTTCACCGAAGTTTCATTACGTTTTCGTCTGTTTGATTTCCTTACAGGCCGGAAGGTACGGTCAGCTGACTTACCTCAGAGTGTACCAAGGCTTGTTAAAGCGAGGGGCTTATATCGTAAATACTCGGACCGGGAAACGTCTTAAGGTGCCAAGGATCGTCCGAATGCATTCGGACACTATGGAGGTAACCGAAAAATACGACGATATGAAAATCTTATCGTCGTTTTTGTATCCTAACGATGCAATCAAGGAAAAGAGGCTGACTAACTCTGATTAACCCTAACATCAGTATGCATATTCTCTATACTGGTCTCTATACATTTCCTAACGTGCTGGTAAGGAGAATTGGTTTAACAATCAAGAGGTTCTTTGGTTAATTATCAATTTTTTTTTATTCTCATAACCTTAATGTTTGATTCATGGGTGGTATTGAAAAGAGAAATTAGATGCTGGTCACTCTCAGGAATTAAAGGGTTGACAGGTTGGATCAGTCAGTGTCTGAGGAACTGCGCGCCTACTCCTCCCCTAACCCAACAACAGTCAACTGACAACAAGTTGGGCTAGAGGAGGGGTATACATTGCTCAAGTTCTTGTAAATTCTCGCTAATTAAATCACCTTTAATCCGTAATGCCTAAAGCGCTGATAATGCAGGGGCCTGTTCACGGTCTAATGGAGCACATATTTTAGTAGCCCACAATTTTTTTTAACGATTACTAATATTGCTCCTTCGTAGGATGTTCAAGAGGCTGGTGCTGGCGATATATGTGCCTTATTTGGAGTGGAATGTGCATCTGGGGACACTTTTACTGTAGAAGGAGCCAAATCACTCTCTATGGTAAGGGCCATTCACTACGGGTACGTTGGGGGGGTGGGTGGGGGAAGTCAGTTGTGGCTGACAGAGTCCTGACTATTGAATGTTAACTGCCAATTGGGGGGGGGGGGGGGGGTTAGAGGAACATTACGGAGTCTTAGGGGGATCAGGTAAACATAATCTTCCTACCCCTTCCCCCCCCTTCCCGCCCCCACCCAGGCGGCAATTAACGCTAAGAATGCTAATCCCTACTCCCTAATTCATAAAATTTTTGGTATGGTCTAATTCCTAATTCCTTCTAGAGTAAACAAGTACCCCCCCCCTAGCTTTTTGCTCCCACTTTGTAACGTAGTCGGTAATTGCGTCAACTTGGCTTCCGCGTGGCTTCTGCGGTAATTGCGTGTTTACACTCTTCTTTACAAGTATCCCAGACTGTCCTTATGAAGAAAATGCCTCGGAAAAACTTACTGTAAGGGTTAATATTTGCTGCTAATACCTCACACTACACACCACCCTTCCCTGTCTCTTTGCAAAATTAAAGGATTCAAGGCAAAAATATGATGATCGCAACCGTTGAATTTCGAATGTAACGCGGTTATGGGAAACAAAAAAATATTATTTCATGCTTTTTGTTGCAGGAACCAATTTTTGTTCCTGATCCAGTTATTTCGCTCGCTGTAGAGGCAAAGAACAAGGTGAAAACTTATTTATTATCGTAAATTGTATGTTACTGTATACCCTTCTGAAGTAACTGGCTAAGCACTGAGTTCTCTTTTTTAGCTTGCGAGTGGAACAAAATACGAGCGTTGCAGTAAACGCGTTTTGCCGCCCTCGGTGTCTGGCACTAATGATCAGTGCTAGACCGCTTAAAAACCTCTCGCGGGCTCGCATCGCTCTAGACCTCATTCTTTCGTGCGGGTGAAGGAACCCCCGTGTTGAAGCGCTTTTAATGAAGGCCTGCTCTTGGGACAAGAAGTTAATTTATTATTATCATCTAAGTTGATAACTTAAATTCGCTACCGTAAAAGAGTTTCAAACCTGACGTTTCCAGCGTTAGCCCTTCGTCAGAGCGTGGGGCTAACGCTCAAAATGTCAGCTTTCAAACTCTCTACGTTGGCCAATTTACGTTATCAACTCAGTTGATAAGAGCAAATTACCTTGTTATACTCTCCCACCGACGCAGCACCGCAGTTTCTTGAGAAACTTACCCCCTTTTCTCTCAGGATAGGATCTTATTTTGGGTTATTTTGTTGCACTCTTGGGCAAGACAATTTAATCTCAAAACACTCTCAGGAGTATAACTTGGTTTTAGAATCATGAAAAGCATGCGAGACATTCTTAAGTCTCTTCGTGCCACATAAGTCGTGAACATACCTGCCTTAAAAATCTCTAATGCTATTGAGGTAAACGATTTATCAACCATTTGATTCGACTTGTTTCTCTTTAGAATGATTTAGCTCAGTTCTCCAAAGCTCTTAGTCGATTCTCTCGTGAAGATCCAACATTCAGAGTGAGTTTCGACGATGAAAGCAAGGAGGTAAGTAAACTTTTGCGAAAAATAAATTTGTATTCAAAACTCTTGAAACTTCACCTCTCTCCCGTGTTCTTCTGTTAGCGAGGCTTGTTTTAACTATCGAAATTTAGTACAAGTGCTTCCTGTCAATGGATAAGTCGCAGAACAATACTTTTCCCAATGAGGGTTAATCCTTTTAGTGATCTTTTATTTTCTCATCTTTGTCAGACTATCATTTCTGGAATGGGAGAGCTTCATTTGGACATATACACCGAGGTGAGGGCGGCATTATGAACATGTGAAATATGGGCACGGTCTGAATAGTTAATTCTACGCCAGAGGTGTCATAACGCTTTCTGTGCGCGACTAATTAACAACTGTTTCCCTCAGAGTCGGTGGCTAGGGATGGATTTTTATCAAGCCGTGACACTGGGGTAAATAGTTGTTTTAGCATGAACTAAAACAGTGAGATAGTATAGCACTAAAAGATATTTAACTCGTTGTTTCCTGTGACGAGTATAATATTTTAGAGCGCGAGCTGCTCAGAGGTGACTAGAAAGGATATCCGGAATTTGAGTAGCCAATCAGAGCGCGCCTTCAACGCTATCAACTAATACTTGCTTTTATTTCTGTTAACCTTTGAATAGTCCATTTTACAGTTGTGTGCTTGGTTGCCAAGCCTTTGAACAGGAATGAGGCTAAGGGTGACCTTGTTATGATACAAACCTTGCTGCTTTTCAAATGCAAATTACTTTGTTATCATGCTAACTAGATACTGGTCTCTATCACAGCAAGGTCACCTTCAGCCTCACTCCAAATCAAAGGTCTGGCAACTAAGTACATAACTGTAAAATGGCTTGTTGTCCTTTCTGGCTGCTGCACAATTCCTTGTAGATTAGTTACTAGAATTTGGTGTTAGATCAAGTTAAAAACTTCTGCTTGATAAGTTTGAATATTCTCATTACCTGTTTGCTGGATGCTGTATGGATATTGTAGGGGGAAGTTACATGTTAATCACTTCTGAGAGGTTAATGAAACAGGCGTTTGTTAGTTTAACCCTTTAACTCCCAGATCAGATTTGTACTTCTCCTCACTGTCAACCATACAATTCTTATAACGTTTGTTCAGAGAATTTAGTATTGGATCAACTAATTATCCCCAAATTGATATTTTTCTTTATTCTCATCACTTATATGGTTGATATTGAGCTGATATCGTAAGGAGAAATTCTGTCTTGGTCGCTCATGGAAATTAGAGGGTTAATAGCAACGTGATTTGTTGCCCTCGTTTAAGTGCTTAAGCAGTACAAAGAAAAAGGAGTCGATGATAATTTTTGAGGGAGTAATTGAAGGCAACTCGAATTTCCCTATGATTTGATGATTAAAAACTATTCACCGAAGTGGAAGAGGCTATGGATGAATATTTATCGGACCGCGAAACGGTGAATTAAACATCCACTGCCAGCTACTGAGGTTGAGGTAAATAGTTATTTTAGTACATACTAAAGCAGTAAGATATACATCCAAAAGAGATGATTGTGACTCATTTATTCCTGCAACGTTCGGCGAGTTACTCGGAAGTGAATTACAACGGATATTCAGAGTTTGAGCAGCCACTTAGAACGCGCCTTCAACACTATCTAATGTTTTAGTATGTACTAAAGGGGTATAATCCCACACAATTTGACGCGTTAATGTCGACTTTATTATGTTTAACTTTCAAGGGTGACAATGTATAATTACCATGACAAAAGCATTTCCTCAACTTTAAAGTTAACACTTGATGTTACTTACATGTTACCTTAAGCTCAAAGTTACTCAAAGTTGCTATTGCGTACAATTATCCAAAGAAATGCGCGATTTATGTTTTTTTTTCCACAGAGAATGCGAACAGAGTTTAACTGTCCTGTAATATCCGGTAAACCCAAGGTAGCCTTCAGAGAAACAATAAGCGGAAAGGCCACGTAAGTGATCAACATCTAATTTCTCTTAACTTTTTCATAACAATTTTCAGCAGATGGTTTATGAGAATAGCAGGTAATTTAGTGTCAACAACTGAGTTGAAAGTGTAAATTGACCACCGTAAAGAATAAAAAAGATAACATTTCGAGCGTTCGCCCTTCGTCAGAGCAATTGATTTATGAGAGTGTTGACACGTAGCAGTTGAAGAGAGTTATCTCCATGTAACACTATATTCTCTCAACTTATTTGCTAGAAAACGTGAAGTAACAAGAATGGAGAATTTCCTATTAGATCGTAGTAACCAAATGTCAAATGGTTGAATTTTAGGTTTGAGTATCTTCATAAAAAGCAGACAGGAGGAGCTGGTCAATATGGCCGAGTCATCGGCAGAATCGAGGTATTTGACAGCAAATTCTTCTCGATAACCTGGTAGAGTAGTTTTCAACTGAGTCTCAAAGTTGATTTGGAATTGCAGTAGTTTTGCTTTTGAACGCTCTGTGATTGCTCAAAAAAAACTTGCATCACTCTCTCAACCAATCAGGTGAAAGAGTAAATCCAATCATGACTTGACGACGGTTTGCTAGTTGACTGTTAGCTCTCTGTGATCTGTTACTTTGTTGTGATAGGCCTGCAGTGATTAGGTTGTTTAAGGTTTGTGACACTCAGTTGAGAAGCATTCTTTCAGTGTCCGTTTTTTTACATACTTGTTTTTTGCGTGTTTCTGTGCTCTTTTGTTTTTGTATCAGTTGAGATGGACTCTTCCAGTGTCCGGTTTTTATATGCTTTTTTTTGTTTGCTTTTTACTTTTGTCTCAGTTTAGAAGCACTCTTACAGTCTTATACTTGTTTTTTCATTTGCTTTTAGCTTTTGTCTTTTTTTATCTAGTTAATTTAATGTTACTCAGAGTACCTGAGTGAAGTTTCAGCGCCATTCGTGAACCAACGTCTGTCTTGCGTTCACTTTTTGCTTCTTTTCTTTTGTCGTTGTTTTCCTTTGGTTTGCTTGGGTTGCTTTTCTTTTCTCTCTTCCATCTGCATTTCACTTTTCCTCTTCCTTCCAGCTGTCGCGCCCTTATCCCTGAAATAAAACAATGACAAGAGCAGTGAAACTAAAACGTTGAAGATCCCCCTAGAGAGACCCATTAGACGTATTATAACCGGAGGGGGAGGGGGAAGCATCGAATTCCTAATTTCTCCACATGAAAAATCTCGTCGTCGTTATGAGGAACCTCATAGAAGGTCTAATTGCTATGGGAACTTGCCTTCCCCGTTCCACAAGGGTGTGTTGCGTAGAAAAAGGGCTGTTCCCCTCCTTCTATAAGTATGAAGACCCTAACCAGGGGAAACATTTCCCCCTTCTTAATCTTTAGATATTCCTCCAATCCATGAGTGAGAGACATGTTGATTTCTTGTTCGTTGTTTGCAGCCTATGCCACAAGAATCCCTCACAGAGCTCGAATTTGTCGATGAAACTGTGGGCATGAACATCCCCAAGAATTTTATTCCTTCTATAGAAAAGGTAACTGCAACTTGAAACTGTGCTTTTCAATGGGATGCGATTTATGAATATAAAAATTCGTTTCACGCGCACATCGATAGGTTAAACTTGCTCAAACATGTTTTTTGGTAAATGTTTTACTTCTCAGGGTTTCCTAGAAATTTGCGAGCGTGGCCTTCTCACAGGGCATAAGCTGGCTGGAATTCGTTTTGTCCTTGAAGATGGTAAGTTTCCAAATAAACGACAATCCTCGCTCTCGTGGACGGGAAGCTGACACAAGTCATTAAATTTTTCCTATCCACTACGTTTTTTGTTTTTTTGTTTTTCTTTGTTTTTCTTTGTTTTTTCAAAGACTACCAGATCTTATTATTTAGGTCCCGTTCGCCAATCCTCCTCAGAAATGGGTTTCCTTGGTTTTGTTCCTTGCGCCCAAGAAAGCTATGTTGTAGTTTAGCAAGGTAATGTTTATTCCTCAGCGTAACGGGCGAAAAGCGATTGCGTGACTATGATCGAGTTTGTATGCAAATTCGTGCGATATCCCGCAGCTGTTCGTTCACGAAGGTTTTTACAAAAATATGAAAAGTTCAAACGTCGATATTCTAGCTACAGACCATTAAGATGAACTATTTTGTATTTCGTGAAACGATCACTTAGATTATTCTTCGTCTTAAATAGTTTCGGTTTTGATGCCTCATTGAACATGTGATATAACATTACGCAAAGTTATGCACTGTTAAATCCACAGTTTAAATTTCACGCAATCCCAACCTTGTGCTGAATTTTACAGACATCAGCAAAAATGGAGACCTTTGGAGTCAAATTTAAACCAACCTTACATTTAATTTTTGTCGGGGCATTTATGTTTGAGCAGACAAAATGCCTGATAATTTCAAGTAAAATTGTGTTCGATAAGTGTTTACTTTTGACGGATGTTTGTTCGTCTTATCACGAACGTGGGAACAAGGAAAAACGTCTGAGTCCCCACGAGGAATCAAACCTCAGATTTCGCGCTCCGATACTCTACCACTGAGCCACAGAGACTCTACGATGAGTTGGACAGTCCGACACGCGTCCTGCATATTGCAAAATCAACAACAGTAAACTTACTTGAAAGTGATAAGGTGATAAAACATCTCCACGTCTTCCTCGTCATCGTGGTCTCCGTGTCCGTGGTCTCCGTGTTCGTGGTCTCCGTGTCCGTGGTCCTCGTGTTCGTGATCTTCGGGGTCATACTCATCATCTTCCTCGTCGTATTTCCATATTCTCGTACCTATGTAACGCACGTCGCATTGATCTCCAACCAGTGACTTTAACATCTTTGCTGTCACAAAATTAGACCCGTGTTTACAGATCTCCACCATATGCCGGCCGTCTGGCTTAAGAAGCGACTGCATTAAGCTCGTGTACTCCTTCAGTCGTGGTTTACCCATCGCATTGATCACAGGCATGGCGGACTGATCCCAGATGGCATCGAACTTTCCTCCTGCTACCTCAAGAGAAAAATTGAAGATGTCACAATGGTAGAGTGTAATATTCTGGCCTTTCGCCGTGTACACGTCTGCTTTCTTATCAGCCGTGATTTGCTTCTTCTGGACTGTATACTCCAGCTTAGAATCTCGGAAGAACGCTTTGATGTAGCGAGGAGAAGCTTCCACACCTGTAATCGCGTGACCTTGTTCTGCTAGCCAACGCATATCCGGCGTCTTGCCGCAAAGGGGCACAAAAATCTGTAGATTACTGCGACCTCCTGTGAGTTCATTGACATTTTTCATCAAAATAGGGTCCACCTTTTGCAAGTAGTCTGGTTCCTCGGGCTTCTTCGGTGCTTTCTGCTGATTCTTGCCTCCTTTCTTACCAGCTTTGGTCGCCATGCGGATTTGTGTCGCTCTCCTTTCCCGTCAATTTGCTTTCTTCTGTCCTCCTTGCTGGCCTTGCAAAGAATGATGGGAGATGAACGCGGGCGCACCTTTATTGCACCACACAAACTTCTTGACGTCATTTTCTTTTTGTGTGCCATGACATTAGTCGCTATTTGAATTAATAATTGGGTAAAACTGTTTCAATATGCAAAGTGTGAATAATTTAAGCGATGAAAATTTCTGGAAGCGTTATGCTCTCAGATTCCGCAGATCATCTCTCGAACTTTTTCGTCGAGGGAAAAATAGGAAGCTTTTAAGGTTTTTTAAACACGAAAATAGCTGAAACGGTGCGCAAATTTCCTTTAGTAATTTCAGTGGTTTCTTTTTGATATAAAACATTATGAACGACTACGAAGCAAGATTGCGTGACAATCCTCAGCCAGACTGTATATTTTTCGTGACAGGCTTAAATTTTCTGCGCCTCGTTTGTCACACGGTATTATTGTTATTACCTTATTATTAGAGTATTACGAAGCCTTTTTGGGATCAGGTAAATTTTTAGCGTGACACTTAAAATCCTCTTTCCTCTTTTCGCCCCCTCTCCCCCCCCCCCTTCCTAATGAGGTGATAACTAATGACCAGTCCGTAGGTTATGAATTAGCATCCAAATATTGAGTAGCTTGAAATATTAAACTTTGAATAAATACTTTAGGAGCGGCTCACGGAGTGGATTCCAGTGACCTCGCTTTCAGACTTGCAGCCATGGGAGCCATGAGAGAAGGTACGGAACGTATCTTATTGTTACTTGAATCCCCATTTCCCGCGTGAGACGCATCCCATAGCGCTTTTCAGGTGGGTATCATAACTTTACACTCTCTGTACAATGCTGCACTGTGATTTTCCGCGCTTTTTTCTGTCGTTAGCCTGTTTACCCACGCTTTCTTGGCGCACAGCATTCTTTCCCACGCTTTTTTTTTTTTTCGATTTTCTTTTGCAGTTGGGTTCCTATTTTTCGGCGCTTTCTTTTCCAGTGAGCTCTTTACAATCTAACATCAGTAAGCACATTCTCCATACTGTTCTATACACATTTTCTAAGGTGATGACAAGGAGAATTAATTTAACAGTCAAGAGCTTCTTTAGTCGGTGATCATTTCCTTGATTCTCATGACCTTAGTGTTTGATTCAGGGGTGATATTGTGAGGAGAAATTAGATGCTCATCACTCTGTGGGGTCAAAAGGTTGAAAAACAAACAAATAATCGGCTCCTGATGAAAGAAAAGAAAATCTTCTCACTCCAGGAAGTGATTGGAATGCCAATTCTTCTGCGATTTTTATATAGCTGTGCAGAATAGAAATGGTTTAGTAACAGTAACGGACGAAGAAGCGTGAGATCATGTTAACCCTTGAACCCCTAAGAGTGATCAGCATCTAATTTCTTCTTACAATATCACCCTGAATATAACATTAAGGTCACGAGAATAAGGAAAATGATCACCAGCCAAAGAACCTCTTGATTGTTAAACAAATTCTCCTTTACGACCCCTTAGGAAATGTATAGAGAACAGAATGGAGAAAGTGCAAACTGGTGTTAGGGTGTAAAGGGCTGAAGAGAGTGAATCTTAGACCTTCAGAGTAAATAACTTAAAGTTAGACGGTAAGTCTACAAGAAAACCTACAGCACTTCTGATTGCATGATTGCCAATCTTTTTTGTTCATTTCGACAGCGTTTCCCAATGCTTCTCCCCTGATTCTGGAGCCAATCATGTCAGTGGAGGTGAATATTCCCCAGGAATTCCAGGTAAGGCGCTTTCTGCTACTTTCCCTCTCCGCTCTGATATATCTCCCTAGCTCCCTGCTCTTTAATTTCCTACCCTTGTGAAAAATTTTACGAAATTAGTCGTGTCGTTTAGTCATTTTAGCAAGTTAACACAAGAGACGCAGCGACAAAAGCATTGAAACCTATGGGCTTCGAACCGGCGATGCGTGCGCACGAGAATTCTGCTACTGGTCTGCGATGGTTTCTCCAGACCCCTCACAGATCCCTTGCACGTTCGCTATGCTCTCGGGCCTAAAAAAATCGCGGGCTGCCGTCCCTCTCATGCCACTGTGTAAATGAGATCCTGCTCTCCATATTGGAAACCATCCAAGTTCGTTCCAGTTTCAAATATACTTTTTTCCAGCCAACAAAATGCATACTTCATACAGTGTTGATTAAATCAAAGTGACAATTCATGAGCGGTAAATTTGCGTCACAATCACGCCTCAACCTGTTAGAACCAATAAGAGTCTGTACTCGAACTCAGTAACCAGAGCTTATCCCGGTTTCCATCGCATGAAGCGACTTGGGAGTATCACTACCCCCTGGAAGGGATACCAGTCCATCGCGAGGTTACCAACCCCTTTCCCCGAACAGGCATTTCATCAGCTATCCCTAACAATTCGCCGGTATCCATTTATTCTCCTGGATGGAGAGAAGCACTGTAAGAGTTAAGTGTTTTGCACATGAACATAACACAATGGACCGGCCAGGTTATGAACCTGGACATCCCGACCCGAAGCATTAAGCCACTGTGTTTCCAAGTGGCACCAATTAAGGCAACTGGGTTTTTTTCTTCCTCTACAGGGAGTGGTGATTTCAGGCCTTAACCGTCGACACGGTGCAATCACTGGCACAGATGCGGCGGAAGGTTATGTTACAATTTATGCCGAGGTATTAAAACTTTCCACTTTATTCTTGACACATGCTGTCAATTGAAAGCCAATCAGTTAAATACAAGACCGCGGTCAGACGTCGAGCATGCGCAAATGTATCGACTGTGGCCGACCGCGCTCAATTTCCTGCGCAAATTTCAAAATTCCAATATCTAATGAACAACCGCTCTTAAGCAAAATATGCGGAAAAAAAAATTTCGAAACAGCAACACAATTTAGAAAGAGTATAACTAGAGACGTTGCCATCACAAAACGTATCTAATTGAGGGTATCCTGTTGATTTACAATTTTGTGTGAAGCTTTATCAGAAAATTTATTCTCATTTTACAAACCATGAGTTACTGACCAGTGTGGTTGTTCATAACTTATGGGAGCAATATGGTCCTGACAGCGTGAAAGCATGCCTCCCAGTCTTTACAACATTCGCACATGCGCAGACATTTGACAGCTTTGTTATCAAGGATTGATTGAGTTAGACATGTATACCATTCCAGTGGCGTATCCAGACCTTGAGCTAAGGGGGGAGGAGGAGGGGCGGTTTTTTTGTCACTTTTATTTTTTTTTTTTTAAACCCTAAATAACGGGTAACCCGGGTCCCCCCAAGCATTTCCTTTAGATCCGTCACTGCATTCTTTTAGTAAGAAAATACCCGTCGATTATAAGAAATAAACTAGGTCATGACAAAAGTTTTCCAAAAAAAAAAAAAACTTTTTTTTTTTTTTTTTTTTCTCGGTGGCTGTGTTCGCAAAATATCGCAGAATTTGAAACTTTCTGGATTTGAAATACCCCACGACAAACTCATGATTTTTCTTTAGTCCCACACTCTTCAAAAATGGTTACATTGTTTCTTTAGCAAATTTTTAGCTAGCTTAGATCACGGCCTTTGCTTAAGTCCTCTTATATGTACGTAGGAAATGCCCAGTCACTTTCTCGATGGTTCCTTAATAATGTTTTTCACTTCCAGGTTCCACTAAACGACATGTTCGGTTACTCCACCGATTTACGGTCGCAAACACAGGTACAGGAGTTTGTTTAGAGTCTAATGTTTGCTGGTTGGTCTTCCTCTATTTTATTGCTCTGCGGAAAAGAAAGAAAAAACGGTATATTTATTTATGTTGTCGCCCAGATGCAAACGCAGATTAAGATAAAGGAAGGTATCGGGATGCGAAGTAATGTTACATTTTAAGATATTTGTAAGTGGGATAGAAAACATTTGCGTTGAGGATCAATATCAGTATCTTGGCAACTGCCCACCTACCCCTCCCCTAACCCAACGACAGTCAATTGATGACAAGTTAGGGTTAATGTTGGGTTAGGGGAGGGGTAGGTGGGCAGTTGCCCAGATACTGATATTGATCCTGCGTTGAAATACCCATATTCAAAAACAAGTTTGTGGTAATTCCTTCACAGGCTGAAAGGACGGGGGGGGAGGTAAGGTGGTTGGAGGGTTTTGTTTGTTTGATTATAAAATTTATCTGATCCCGTCAAAGGCTTTGTAACATTCTTATGAACCCTCCTCCCCCCGTCATTTTTCTTTAGACTTCCCTCTCATACTCTGGTAGCGACGACTGTTCCTCCTCCTGTTCCCCCCCCGTCCCCCCCCCCCGAAAACCATGTGACACCCCAAGAAAATCCTTTCTTTCTCCCCTTCTCGTTTCGGTGATGAATATATAATGGTCCTTGAAGAAATGAAGTAAGACACAATGATCTCAAATTATTATATTTCAAATTTTCTAGGGAAAAGGTGAATTCACAATGGAATACTGTAAATACTTGCCCGCCTCACAACAAGTACAAGCGGAACTGATAGAAAAATTTAACGTGGAGAGACTCAAGAAAGCCAAAAGATAGCGTACGGCTAAGCTATCATCCCTCCCCTCCCTTGGTTATTTTTTGTCACTACTTCCGCTGGAACTTACTTTTGTGGTTGCGCATCCTGAGATTTAATACAAGTGGCTTTACGAAAATCAGAACATTAATTCGATATCAAGAGTGATATATTTATTTTAGCGTTTACTGTTAGCCAGAACTAGATTCCTGTTTTAAGAAAAGGGGAGTTTCTCTTTCCCTGTATTTTTGCTGTGCTTTTTGTCCAATCAAGTTTGTGTCGATCATTTCGAAGCTTCAATATTCCCCACGGGCAATCCGCCCCCCTTATATTTGATTTTTGAAGATTGATTTGTTCAAATTATCACTGCCTGGGGGCAAAAACTGTGCTCAAATTATCTATCCAAGTGCCGGATTTGATGGTCAATTTTTTTGCAAAGGGCGAAATCGGCGACAGAGAATTTCAACGCGCTCGCGAAAGTGGAACGTTTTACACCTCCATATTAAAAGATATGATATACCAGTATTGCGATGGAAAGACTTGACACTTTTGGTTCAAATTTCCCACCTCAGCTAGGTAACGTTCCACCTCTCGAGCACGGACAACGGTCAAATCCCCGTGAGTTGCCTAGGAAGGGATGTTGAAGCTGCTGAGAGTGATCTTGTCGACATATAAACTTACGTGACACAATATTTCAGTCAGATTTCCAAGCGGGCGAGGTTTATCAATCATAAGTAGATAATGGAGATTTAGATTGTGACTAAAATGATCATGATCACGCGGTTAATGACCTTTATTTCAGAAAATTTTAAATATCTCACGCAACCTCGTTGCTAGACCCCCGTTCCGTCCGACGATTCCCAAGTGACCTTGGGACTTTCCGTGGGTCACGTGCCAGACCGAAGGAACAAAAGACTTTTTTCTTTTTTTAATTAAACTCTAGATTAGTTTTCATAGTGGGCATGGCGCATATGAAAGTATACAATGGCTCATGGAGCTGTTTTTTTATGTGCGTCAAGAAAGCTGAAAGCGCCTCGAAAATTGCGTTTTTACCGAGCTAGTCGCTATGGTCTTCCTCAGCCGCGTTTGGAATGTCGCTCTGCGTCCCCTCCCTAAAATAACATTGCGCGTGACATTTCAAAGAACAGCTGCCAAATATTGTTCGAATTTCAAAACGAATCATCAAGACGAGTCATGAAAGAACAAGGTCGCAAAATGAAGTGCATAATAGAAAGTTTGTTTCTTTTGCTGACCTAGTTAAAATATTTTGCTTTTAAAATAAACAGTTGAACAATGTTCATGCTTTGAAATTCTTCAATCGCCTTTTTTTTTAATTAACCAATCTACCACAGTTTGTTTACTCGAACAGATTTCGTAACACTTATCATATTACTTTTTTACTGTTTTGACAATTTTTGTAAAATTCACGAACGTCAAAAGCTCTAAGATAAATGTTTCGCAATGAAAACCGCTCGAGTATTAATTGTCCATACCGTAAATTTCTGTGTGATTTTGATCGTTTCAATGTAATTGGATTTCACTATACAGTAACTGAAAATTAAATTCCTTTAGTCACAAGATAAAGGTTTCGATCGGGCATGGAAAGAAAGAGAAAGTGTTCCAAGTTTAACGGAGTGAACGAAACATCTAGCGAACCCTGAATTTACCATCCCTCGTTACATTGCATTAATCAAAAGATGCGAATTTCCTTGACGTGAGAAATTTCAGTGGCCTTTTGCCTTGGCCCGACCCTAATCGACCATTGTTTCAAAACTAAAATATTTCATGAACTTCCTCGGGCAAATACTGCATTCCTAATCTGTTACGTGCCATGTAACGGCCTCCTAGCCTACAAGAAGAAAAAACTTGACTTTTTGAGGTTCTCTGGTGGAAGTATTCAACAGATTTCGATGAAACTGAAATAAAAATTAAACTACGGTATGATAAAAATCTCTGACCTTCGTTCAACAGTCAGCGGGGAGTTGTCTCTAGTTTACGTTTTTAGCCCGCTACGAAGTTAAAAAATTCGTGTTCTTGAGCCGGTCGAGTTCTACCTTGACTCATCGTTAATGCTAAAGCAGAACGAGAACTCTAAGAAACAGAAATAACGTTCTCCTTCTTTACACTGCCTTCTAGCGTTTCTGTTTTCGTATCCATTCTCCGTGAGCGGTTTTAAACGCATCTGCAAGCGCCAAGCAAACTTCTTTTGCCGTTTCCTCTGTCTTAAAAACAAACGCATGACATTGGAGTTCTCCTTGTTGTTCGGCGATAAAAGAAAATATCATTTTGTTTCGGATGTCTGTACAGCAGTAAGCAATGTCAAACAACTTATGGCAAACTTCTTCCTTGACTCCCGGACCTTGGTCAGTGACTGTGATTCCACGGGAGATATTTGACGATATCAAAATCGAAACCTTGCGTTTCTTCCCCTTTCCTTGAACACCATCGTGTAGTTTGTCTACGCATCTTGCACTCACCGAAAGTCCATTTTCGGGCCGCAAAAACTCTACCACTTTTGTCTTTCCGAGATATCGCGCTGTATAGGTAGGTTCTTCATCATTCAGCTGGTAATATCCTCTGGCTCTCTCCGACGATAATTTCCGGAGAATATTGTTGTTATTGTTGATGGCCATTACAAATATTTTGGATGTGGCGTTAAACTGAATAACTTAACTACTTGTGGAGACAAGAGTAGACAAGACCTTCGCATTTTGCCCCTGAAAGTGAAGACAATAGACTAATCTTGGTCGTCTCCAATGACTGTAGCTGATGTTTATTTAGGGGTGTGTACGACATTAAACAGATGTACTTTTGTCTTTTTAACGACAGTCAAATGTTGAAATCCGAGATGAACAACAATCTGCTCTCTTTCGCAATTCGCAGCCTTTGTTTTAAGATGTAACGCAACGGTCCTTTTTCTAGGTGTCACACAACGATTCCTTATTTGTAGGCTGCTAGTTTAGCTAAGACTTGTAAACAACAATGAGCTTCAAAAAAAATAGGAGGAATTTTCTCCATGAAAAAAATCATGGCGTGCATTTGAGGGATTAGCCGATCAACTGATCACATGAAACTTGAAAGGGCATTATCTCACTTAGCAACCTGATGACCGTTGAAAAATTAACGAGAAAAGCAGTGCCTTGCTCCTCTTTGGTTTTGGCTAATAAAACTTTGTAGTTTGAAGTAAGTGATCGCCAACACAAACAAAAAACTGGAGGCCAAAACAGTATAGCTTGAGGAAACAATTAATTTCTTTGGAAATTTCGTATACTTCCGGCTCAGACGCTAATCGCAAGCGTGTTAAAACGTCCTGTAGTTTTCAGATAACACATGATCAATAGCCATTAAGTAGTGATGAATATGAAATAATGTTACAAACAAAGATATGTTCGGTTGGTCTGATGATGAAGAAGAAGAAGAAGATCAAGAAAGAGAGCTTTCTCCATCTCATACGAAATCAAGTATTGTCACGCCATGCGCGACAATCGTACACTTTCTTTCAAGCATGCGTGACAGAGACTCATTCAAGTGAATTTCAAACATCCGCAAATCTTTTGTGCATAAATCGCCTAGTAAAATGCAGATTTCTTTCTCATTACGTGAACAATCGTGTTTAAGACAAAGCAGTTATATTCAAAAAGCCACCTGCCTTGGAAGAAACAGATTTCTGAAAAACATCGAGACGACACGTGAAAAAGACCTTACTTCGGTCGATGTTGGCGCTGAGACTACAGAATACATTTTACCTTGAGATATTACGAGTCTTCCCGTTATTGGTCGAGGCTAACATTTACGGAGCATAAACTGAGACAGGGACGTGATACTTAAAGAAGGGAAGACTTTCAGAGAGCATAGGTTGTAATAACTCGTCAAGAGTTACCATAAGTTGTTTTAGCTCCAAAGAAAGATGAAGTTGGGGAATTTGTATCTATTTTTGCTCATTTGTTGTCTTCACATCGCTGTACTTGGAGTCAGCCCTGTTAGAAAACTTACCTCAGAGGACTTGAAAAACATTGGGGAATCCACGAACCAAGATTACATTGCTGTTTTCTTTGATAAACCATGTAAGTTTACCTCCTCTCATGATTATTGAAGCTTTTATCGCCTTTAGGCAAGTATTAAGTAATACTCACTCTGTTTATTTCCTGTTTTCGTTAAATGTAGTTATTTATGAATTGTGTTATATTTTGTCTAAGCTATCAGACAGGGGAATCCAAAGTTTGCCAAAGAATTTGACAAATCGTCGGACATTTTAGAGTCATTTGGAATTGAATTATGCAAGGTGAAGACTATTTTACGCTTTTTAAACCGAACCGCAGCTAGACTTAATCAATATTTTACAAAATTATCGTTGCTCCCAATTACTTCCCTCTAGATTACAACTAAAACGAAACTATTTCAAACACATCATGTTTACAATCGAATTGCAGGTAAACTGTGCAGAAGAGTCCATTTCTCAATGTTCTAATAAGGAACGAAACATTTTCGTGTACAGGTAATGCTTTCAAGAAATGAAGTCATAAACGCGTATTGTGTCGCATTGAAGTTATCGCAAAACCATCAACGTTTTGACTCGAAATTTATTTTATTAATTTGACCAGGAAGGGCGATCCGATTCCTTCAGAAGGAATCGATGTCAGCCACTTGTTCGACGAAGATTCGATCGTGGCTAACCTCTTACAGTAAGTATCATAAAGCTTGCCGAGAGATTATGAGTGTGAGAAAACCACACGTGGTTTGTTTCTAAATTCGACATTAAGGATTCATTTTTAACTCCCTGTAGCTTGGATGAATTTAAAAGAAGAAGTATCTATTGATTTTGGAAATTGGCAATCGGAACGTGTAACATTTTCTTTTGTTTAATTTCCACACTTTATATTGTTGCGACTTGTATTTTTCATAAAAATCGAAGGCCTCTGTTTGTCTTTTGTAATCCTGTTCTTTCAACACCTGCAGGTGGTTTTTGCGTATAATATGATTTTGCCCATATATTAGGTTTCACATATTAGTTTTCTGTGATATAAATTTCTTGGAAAAAAAATAGCAGACATTTTTGGGCCTTCAGAGGCTGGTAATAATTTGTCATCCAAAATTTGTTAATTATTTTTACTCAATATAGCTGTTTTCAATACCAACAAATTGCAATTATGTAATAGCTATTACAAAAGACATTTAATTGGTTTCCTTAAAGTCAAACATACAGATATTCAGATATTCAGGAAAACGACTGACCTTATTATAGTTGTTAAATACAACTTAATTCTTCTCTTTTTTTTTTCTTGCTCCTTTAAATGTGTGGCCTTTTGACCTTTTTACTCTCACCAGTGATCAAACTGTAGTTTCTCCCCATATTATAGAAGTACTAAAAACATCCCTTATGGATTCTTGTCTCATCTAGTATCAAGTTCTCACAGTTAGAATTATAAGTAAAGTGTGGCAGATAGTAGGGAGAATTTGTATTGAGATCCCAGGGAAAGATTCCACTGAACAATTGTTTCAACAACCTCTAGCTGTTTGAAATAAGCATCAGTGCAGTCTACAATCTGTCAAGCACGATGTATGACTCTATCCAGGGCAAAGTGTGGTATGTTTTGTGTTCACTCATCTTTCTGGCAGCATTGTGTTTGTGGTATAGCAATTTCAGGGCCTGTATTTAAACAAGAGGGCCAGTATGTTATCCCTAATCCTTTACACCTAAAGATCAACATACATATTCTCCATACTGTTCTCTATACATTTCACAGGGTGTTGACACAGAGAATTAATTTCATAATCAAGAGCTTCTGTAGTTGATGATCAACTCCTTTATTCTCATGACCTAAATGTTTGATTCATGGGTGGTACTGTAAGGAGAAGCTGGATACATGTCACTCTTAAGGGTTAATCAGTGTCTTTTTTTCTGTTCATGTCTTTATTTCAGGTATGTGTTAACTGATCACTACTATTTCATTTTTGACGAAGACTCATTTTATAGAGTTCTTGCTGTAGAACAGGGATATAAAGATGTCGTCATCTGTTATGTCAAAGGACTAGGAATAAAAGGTGACCCTAGTTTTTTTTCTTCATAACCAACACCTGTCTTATCACCCCCTCACAATTACATGTAAATTAAAACCTCTTGCTCCAGTTGTCAAGGGGGCCTGTCTCGCAGGCATGAATGTTACAAATTGACTTTGTTTGTTTGACAATCTGTTGTTAATATTTGAGCACAGAAGAATTGAAAATCAAACCCAGTCTAACAGTTGTAATTACAAATGTTTTTAATCCTTGTGCAACACCTGGAAGTCTTAAAACCTGCCTCAGGTTACCATCTAAAACAAAGATTTTCCTTTACTTTCCTGTCACAACCACAAGGAAAAAAATTGTGCAACTTCACAATATGATTTGCCAAATTTTTCCAGTTCCACTTGCAGCAATTTTTTTTCACAATTTTTACCCTGAAAGTCACTGTCTCCATTTTTTTTATACTTATTTGCTGGATACAAAGAGGCCACCTTCTGGAAATATGAAACCTTAAATTGCTTGATTTTCAATCAAGTCCCCTTCTATCTCCATTTCCATTTGCCTCGTAGCTAGGTCATCTAGAACTAATCTCTCTCCACAGACTGAATACTGAAAAATGGCTGCAAATTATCCAGAATGGAAAGAAATTCACCAAGTTACCATGACAATGATATTTGAGATCTGAAATTTTTAATAATAAGATATAGTTACAAACTATACTGCAGACAGCAGGATTCCTTTTGTACCTAGTGAGAGGCTCCTGGCTTACTTTTGAAAAATACTTCATTTAAATCCCTGACTAAATACTCTTTGGATACCTTTCAGAATTTTCAAGCGAGTTCTTAGAGCATTGCATTCAAATTCAAGATGTCAACATTGTTTCCCAACCACACATTCACAAGTTATGATTTGTTGAATTAAAATTATCAAATGCTGGTGAAAAGATACTCTCAGTGTGGCCCAAAAGTATCTGATGAGTATTTTGGCCATCTCAAGACACAGTATTATACTTATTAATAGCTACTGAGTGTTTTTTTCAGAAGTATTTGAAAATTTTTTTGAGTATATTAGTTGGTAAATTAGTGACATGTTATTGCTGTTAGTGTTTCATTTTCAGGTTGAGTATACACAATGCTTAGCAGTTGGTTTCTTTTTTCTTTAAACAGAGCATCGACACTTCCTTGAATTAGTGCATTACTTTAAAAACGAGGCGTTCTTTGGTCTCACAACAGATGAAGAATTGATGAAGAAAATTGGGTTAGTGAAGAAAATTCTGTTAGGCAATACAGGTCTTTGTGCTTTAAACATTGCTTTGGGACTGTGTGGTTTGTGCTCTTGTGGAGGCCCTAGATCAGAATAGAGTCACATTGCTCATTCTGAAATGCATCTTTTGTGATCAAAATAAATAGTGGAATTGAATTTTTATTGTGTTATGGCCACTGGCCTGAGAAATCAGCATACTGTAGATAAGCAAACTGAGATACCTCATTTTGATAGTAATTAGCATTTCTACTGTGTATGCAGTTAAAATTTTTTCCTCAACATTCTCCATACATATCCTAAGACGCCAGCTGGAGAATTTGTTTTTAAACAATCAGGCTTCCTTGGTTGGTGATCATTTCCTTTATTTTCATGATCTTAATGAATGATTCAGCTGTATTGCTTTAAGAGGAAATTTGTGGGCTTGAATTTAGGGTTGCTAAACTTTAACAGCCTGCACATTTCCCCCACTGTAATACTCTTCAATTTCTGGGATTGCCCCTGTAAGCTATAAACACTTTCCCATATTTAGCCTCTTTGATGATTTTTTTGCAAGTTACTGATCTCAGTTATTTTGTCTGATCTTTACAAACAGTCTCTTCACAAACCAAAAGGCAGCTGTATATCTTTTTCACTGTAAACAAATGAAAAATACCCAAGACAAATGCCCATCCACCAAGTTTACAGGAAAAGTTGAAAAAACTCCATTGATAAGATTCGTAAGGAGCCAAGAACTTCCAAAATATGTGAGTACCTGTTTAATGATACTGATAAAAAGTTGTTCTGGTGATGCTAATGTCTGGAGAATTTAGATTATATTCCCAACCCATGCCCCCCCCCCAAATTTTTTTTTTGCCAATTTGTTTCTGTTTCATCCCATAAACCGCATTCATTAACATGAGTGCTTGAGAGCTAAAACCAAAAAATCTATACAACTATCTAGGAAAAGATAACTCACACAATTGTTTATGGACTCTGAGTAAAATTTTCTTTAGTTTTATCTCTTTTAAACCATGTTTGAATTTGTTTCAGTTGATTGCTGTGACAAAACTCTACTGCAGTAATGAAAATTTTTTACAAATTCACTTTTTTACACCATGGGAATTGTGATGTCAACTTGTCTCCCTTACATGTTGCCAAGATTGATTTACTGCTTTATGTCTCTAGGCCTTCCCACTCACAAAAAAATCCAAATTGCTTTTTCTCTGGGATATTTTGCAAACTTTAAGGGAGTTCTATCCCAAAAGAGACTCTCAAATCACAAAAGGAGGGTCAGTATCTATTTGTCATTGTTTGATCATGGTTAGGTCCTGGGGAGATATTTGTACCTCACTTGGTTTTTATAGACCAATAGCAAGTTATTTGATAATTGGGACACAAAGTAACCAAGTTTTCTCTAGGTTTAAGGCTATGCTGGGTCATTGGGATGTGCTTGTTAATTTGTTAATAAATTTTTACTCAAACTTTGATGCTGGGAAGAAAAGAGAAGGGTTTCATTAATGGTTAACTTGCTGGACTCAGGATCAGAAGGTCCTGGTTCAAGACCTGTCCAGGTCATTGTGTTGTGTTCTTGTAAAAAACAATGGTATATGTTGACAGTGCCTCTTTCCACCCAGGTGTATAAATGGGGACTGGCTAACTGTTAAGATAACTTGACCAAGTGCTGGAGGGTGATGTTGCACTGACTGTCTCCGAGGGATGAAGGGGGGTGGCATAGCCACACTCTTTGTTGCTTTATGCTGCTTAAACTGGTACAATCTTAAGAAAATAAGCCATCGATGGCTTGTAAGCTGACTTCACCATTTTTGAGCAATTCTTGTATGCCTCTTGCAGGTAATTCTTCCAAGTAACAGATCAACTGTGTTTGACTCCCTGCAACCCCCTGTCGACAAATTGTTTGTATTCACGGATAAAGTTGCTGATCTTGACACAAAGGAGATTGAGCAAATGGCTCTAGAGTTTCAAGGTGTTATTGGAGTGATACTTGTCAATGTGTAAGTTTTCTTGGATTAATGTCAATATCTGAGTAATTGCATACCCACCCCTCCCCTAACCCAACAATAGTCAACTGATAACGAGTTTGGGTTAAGGTTGGTTTAGGGGTAGGATTAATATCAGTAACTGAACGACTGCATACCCACCCCTCCCCTCCCTCCTTTTCTTAGATTAATGTCAGTATCCGAGTAATTGCATACCCACCCCTCCCTTAACCCAACACCAGTCAACTGATAACAAGTTTGGGTTAAGGTTGGTTTAGGGGAAGGGTAGGTGCGCAGTTTTTCAAATATCGACATTGATTTGATTCGTTTTCTTAGACTCACAGAAGTGACTCTTTGGCTGGTTTAAGTTATGTAACCAACCCCACTTTGTAACTTTTCCCTACTAAGATCTTGTTAGTAATTCTCTTTACTGTCTGCCATACATTTCTGTAGAGGCTGCTTCAGAGAATGTGGTATTGGATCAACTAATAATCCCCCAATTGATATTTTTCTTAATTCTCTTCACGTTCATTCCTAGAGCCCCCTGCAACGTTTGTCCAGTGTAACGACCGCTGGTGAAGTGAACGGGGGCTTTTGGAGAGAGATTGATACAATTGTTGTATTACACAAATTAATGTTGTTTTTTTTAAATTTCTCTCTTTGCAGAAATGACCAAAAAGACATGTTAGCGTCGTTTGGTTTGGCCCAAGACAGCAATTTTCCAACAGCAGCTTTTGTAGCAGCAAAGAGAGATGGTGATAACAGGGTATTTGCATTTATAACGAGATAAATCACACTCTCGTAACATATAGTTTCTTGAATTTTGTTTGGTCTGTTTGGTATGTCACGCAGTACTGTCAGCAAGTTGCGTGACACCCTAAAGAGCGACTGTTAAAGAGACTGTAGCTTGCGGGCAGGATGTTATTATTAGCGCTGCTGGATGCGCGTTTCTCGGCCCGCGGAAAGATTTGAGACGAGTCGGGGAATGGTCTACCGGGGGTCTGGCACCAATAATCAGTACCAGACCCCTCGCCAGCTCTCGCCGCTCCTGGCCTCGTACTTTTGTCCGCATAAAGAAAATTTCTTGCCGAAGCGCTAGTTATCAAGGCCTACTCATAAACCACTAAGGTTGAGGAGGGATAGTTCTGTGGGTTAAGTACCGTAAGCTGGACTCATTTTGATAACTGTAAGAGGAAGTCTTCAAGAAAAAGCCTCCATGAATTTTTTTTCAAATTCCAATAGGTTGGTTCTCAACACAGTACTGTGCTTTTAAAAATATTATTATTGCTTTGTTTGTTCGTTTGTTTGTTTTTATATTTGTTTTTTTAATCCCACTTTTCTTGTTTCACTTAGGAAAGTACATGAGTTTCTTTCTTTCTTTGATACACTTATCTTCTTTAACTAACCAAATGTCCTTTTTTTTCATTCCCTTAGACATATATAGAATTGTTCCCTGAAAATATCGCAAGATTTACTTTAAATAATTTGAAACATTTCATCAAACCTTTGATAGATAATCCTACTGCTGAGTACAACAGAATTGGTAAGAGTTAACTCAACGTTTTTTGTATTAATAACTTGTTTTCAAAGTAGTTAATTTTACGAAAGATTGAAAACGAAACAGGCATCTTCTATACAGGCGCATAAAAGTCCCTCGGTGGTTTAAGAACTGCGTTATTATGATAGCGGTTGATTGTTCACTGCATAGGAGAAAAAGAATGTGTGATCACCACAATTTCGAATCTGACTGTTTTGAGGGAATAATGAAGATTTGATTCAAACTCATTAAGCTGTCCGCTTATATTTTACTCGCCCAATTATTTGTTTTTGCTTACCGAGTTCCTTGCAAGGCTACCGCCAGCTAAGGGAGCCGATCTCGCGTACTCAGATGCCCTCAGTATATCTTGGAGCGCTTTCTGAAGAGGTTTCATTTAACAAGAGGCTAAAGTACAGGGTTATTGCAACAGCCAATAAGATCACAATCCTAGGAAACCAATCAGAACTCAATTTAATTCACGTGATCGGCCTTAAGCGCGGGAAAACTCGGAAAACCAAGTCGAGGTTGATTTTACAGTTGCATCTTATTGGTTGAGGGAATGACATCAGTTTACTTGATCAATCACAGAGCGTAATGAGGCAAAAACAATGCAATCCCTGATGACTATTGACACCAATGAAGATTCATCTACTGTGTGTTTTATTGATTGATTGATATATTGATTCATTTAGCCGAGGCCTCGTCTCTTCAGAAGCTCACATACGCAAGCTACAAAGACGCTATGAAAAGCCTGGATACGAACTATCTCTTTGCACTGGACTTTTTGATGGTAGTTTTCTGCAAGGAAGGTAACTAATTACTGAGGTTTACACGCACACGTGTACTAAATTTCTAAAGTTCGAGTCTGCATGTATTTCTGACTAGCGTACAAAATAGTCGTCATTTATGTACTTTTTCGAGGCAAGCGCGGGACGAGCGCGAAGAGTCACGCGCCACTCTCTCGCGCGTAACTCTCATATCTCGCACGCTTCTCTTAGGCTCTTACTTGCTTGAATTCGTAAGAGGGACGCCTGTGATCGATTTTTTCGGCCTGCGCCCAGAGAAACGCTCCAACTTTAGCTTCAAATTCTTAACTTTTACACATACCACTTTTGCCATCCTTGAAAATCTTTGCCCTTCCGACATGCCTACAGCATTACAACGCATTCTTGAAACATCTTGTAAGTACAATTTAACTCGGAATGACAGTTTTAATGTTTTGCTTACTGCTTTAGCAACTTTAACTGCTTTTATTCATGAGTCACATACTTAAACTAACATCTCTCCTAAATACATCACACACCTCTAAGTCTTGCCTGAAAATGGCACCTCTTGCTGGTTTCTCCTTGTTTATGGCGTGCACATGACGATAGATTTCAACTTTGTTAATTTTTGTGTTTATTTTTTTTTTTTTTCGTAGACCACGAACCCTGTGAGAAATTTTCCAGAACGTTACGACGTATCGTTCGCACTTTTGATAGGGGTGGAGAGGGAAGAATCACCTTTGCATATGTCAAGACCACGCGGCAGAAAAAGATGTTTGTAAGTTTTTGGAGTTAAGCGATTGTTCTTTGAAATCTGTGTTGAAACCGTAACGGAATCCTACTCAACTCGTTAATTCTTAATCCAAGAAGACTTTGGCATGATTCACTTCGTCTCTCGAGATTTAGGCAGCTGTTTATTTATGGTAGATGGAATATCGATTGGCAGTTGCGGAACCAAACTAAATTTATAGAAAAGGCCATTTAGGTGAACAGAGGAAATTATAAGGAAAAAAAGCCAACTTAATACAAAGACTTGTCAACCGCTCGAAGCGCGGGAAAACGCGAGTGAACAAGTGTTGATCAATTTTAGTATTGCACCTGATTGGTTGAGAAGTTGGGGTGAGTTTTCTAGACCAATCACCGGAAAAAGAAAAGCGAAACGAAAGCAATTCCGGATTACTCTCCACTCCCAATAAAAATATAGTCTTGGATTTATAAGTGATTTATTTTGATGAAAGTCTCGCGCCAGGTCAGGGAACAATTAATTGATCAGTATATTTTAACCTCGATAACAGGAAATTATTTCAAGAGTTAATATTTTGAAAGCTTATCATTTGCTACTCTCTGTCATTTCTTCAGGAGGGAGAAAAGTTACCTGTTGTTTATCTGTATTTGACCAAGTCCGAAGACGATTTCATCCAGTACACAAGTGAACTTGAATATGAAGCAATGATGAAATTCATAACCGACCATACAAAGTAAACAAATGTTTCAAACACACTCGTAATAGGCTATTTCCATCTCTTCTCCTACTCAGGGAAACTCAGAGAACTCAAATAAAAAATCTTAGTTTCTCCGTTGAGATGTCGTTCCTTTTTTGCTTTTGTCTTTTTTTTTTGTTTATTTTTTTTTCAAAGTGGAGAGAAACGTTTTGGGCTCTCCTTAACAGTGATTTATCGAACTGATGTTTAAATATCCCAAACTTATATGAATTATTGATTTTCCAAGGATCAAGAGGCCTGTTTCACTGCCTGCAAGCTTGTCAGATGAGGCACTAATTTCATTCCCACACACCAACGAAGAAAACGAAGATAGCGAAGAATATATCGACAAACTAGACGAGGAGGAGGAGAGCGAATCGGAGACATCTCAAAGCAGTGAAGAATCTGTGGATGAAGTTTATTTACCAGGTATGATGCTCGTTTCGCGAAAGTAAAGTGTAGCTTGGGATTAAACCAGGTTTAGATCAGCTTGAGCAGCACCAAGTGTACATGAAACAGTCTGCCGATTACCTCTTATACTCCTGGTTATCTTCTGCTCCACATTTCGTTCCTTCGTCCCTTTGCCTTTTCGTCTGTTCAACCCTTCGTCCCTTCGTCCCTTCGTCCCTTCGTCCCTTCGTCCCTTCGTCCCTTCGTCCCTTCGTCCCTTCGTCCCTTCGTCCCTTCGTCCCTTCGTCCCTTCGTCCCTTCGTCCCTTCGTCCCTTCGTCCCTTCGTCCCTTCGTCCCTTCGTCCCTTCGTCCCTTCGTCCCTTCGTCCCTTCGTCCCTTCGTCCCTTCGTCCCATCGTCCCTTCGTCCCTTCGTCCCTTCGTCCCTTCGTCCCTTCGTCCCTTCGTCCCTTCGTCCCTTCGTCCATTCGTATCTTCGTTTCTCCGTCTCTTCGTCCCTTCGTTTCTTCGTCCCTTTGTCCCTTCGTCCCTTCGTCCCTCCGTCCCTTCGTCCCTTCGTCCCTTCGTCCCTTCGTCCCTTCGTCCCTTCGTCCCTTCGTCCCTTCGTCCCTTCGTCCCTTCGTCCCTTCGTCCCTTCGTCCCTTCGTCCCTTCGTCCCTTCGTTCCTTCGTTCCTTCGTCCCTTTGCCCCTTCGTCCCTACGTCCTTGCGTCCTTTCGTCCCCTCTTTTTTTTTTCTATTCGTCCCCTCGACCCGTCGTTTCTTCGCTTCTTAGTCCTTTGGGTTACTCCAATACTGTTTTTTTTTTTGGTCGTTGTTGTTTCATTTTTCTTTTTCCTCTTTTAACTGTATTTCAGAGGAAGAGACAGAAGACGATGAAGTTTCGGAGGCAGTTCTAAAGGCAAAACCCACTGTTGTACCTGAGACCCTGGTGCCTGCATTGACTGACAAAACGTTTGATGCCGTCAAGAAAGAAAATGATCTATTGGTAGTGGACTTCTTCCAACCATGTAAGTTGCTTCGGCAAATTATGAAATTGTATCTTAACTCTGATGTCACCTCTTGATGTGGTGATTTGTCGCATCAAAATACAACAAATAGAAGAAAGTATCGTTTGTCTCACGATTTAGTCACTTCTGTCAAAAACCAACCATTTGAAGCGCACCAATATGTTTTGCAAGATGACGTGTGGCCTATTGACCTAATTTTCTAAAGAAGACTCGATTTATGCTGTCCAAACGTCGCCGTGCCCATCAAAAGTGACTTCATCGTGAGACAAGCGATGAAAACCTATCATTCGACCTATTAAGATGTTCTTCCTCATCGTGTTCATGTGTTGTTGCTTTCTCTATTGTAGTTGTTTTTCTTTGCTGCTGGGCAATTGTATTTTTCCCTTCCTGTTTCCAATCTTGGTTATTATAACTCAAGTTTTATCCCCCCTGGATGGGATGCCAGTCCAAGGCAGATTGATGTTCCCCTGTATTTGTTCAGTCTTTTTTTGACCATTCACTGGTACCCATTTATACTCCCGGGTGGAGAGAGCATGGGGAGAGTAAAGTGTTTTGCCCAAGAACACAACACTTTGACCCGACCAAATCTAACCGTTAGACTGCTGCAATCAGATTTAAATGTAATTTTTTTCTCGCTTTTTTTCGTGAAATTTAACTTTCTTTCATTTCATTTTCTTTTCAGGGGATGCACGTTGTAAAGCTTTTCTACAACCATATGTTGATGCTGCTACACACATAAGTAAGTATCTGCAAAACTTACTACTCATCGAACCTGTACTAAGCGGTCACCCTGTATTTAGCGGTCAGTTGTCAAAGTCCCGAATTTGATTCCTCATAATCACAGTAATTTTCACGTCTATTACTGAGTCCCAACGGCCTATTTTTATTGTCTTCTACCTGTATTGAACGGTCATCTAAGGCATGACCACTCAAATGAAACTAAGAAAAATATTTCAATTAATTTTTAATCCATATTTCTCTCCCAAAATTAAAGTAAGGAGTATTTTCGAGCGAGATTCTGCGCATGAAGTGGTCAATTGTGACATAAAGTGGCGTTATTTATTGTCTTTCGAACAGGAAATTTGGATGTGGGAAACTTCGCCATCAAATTGGCTCGTGTGAATTGTTTTGATTGGACCGATGTTTGCCAGTCGAATAACATTACGATTTATCCCACAATCAAGATGTACCGGTAAGTGTCACCTGATTCCTGAGAAGTAACAGCCTTTTCCTATGATGTGGTCTAAACGCAATAATTCTTGATTGCCGTAAAACAAAAGATTAAAAGGGTTTTATGGATCTGGTACGTGGCTTGTCTATCTTTAAAAAAATCGTTTAAAATGATTAAAAGTTGTTCTTTGCATTTCGTAATAATCTTTACCATGCTCTTTCCGCTTTGGTCTCGTCTCTTTGGTGTTCCCTTCTGTGGTTTGGGAAATTTCTATGATAAAGTCCCTCGGCGGCCCGTTGCCATACGGCTCCTTTTGCTGTCACTAATTTGTAACAAAAATGATAGTTGTTATTATCGTATTTCACCACTATGAAAAACCAGTGCTTCTTTAACGATATTCTTAGCTTTTAATCTATTTTGAGGGAAATTCTTGCAACATCGGGAGAGCAGTAAATTCAGAGAAATTTTGGGAGTATTCGGTGCTAACCGACCTCTTGCCATTGTTTTTCCACAGTAAAGATTCTGACGAAATCACTTACAGAGGACCGTTAGACAGCGATCATCTGGCTAAAGCCGTTTTGTTGTAAGCAGACCAGAATTGTAGTTGATATCAAATGATGGGATTTGGATACAATGAATACGTAGAAGTCTATTGTTAAAGAGACTATACATAAGTGTTTTTGTACCGCAAACGGAGAGATTTCTTTTCCCTGGCGCTTTTTACAGATGCGTTCTCTGTACCGCAGCTTTCTTCCCCCTCCCTCCCCCCTTACCCCTTACTGCGTTCTTTGTTGTAAGATCACAGGGCAAAGTGTAAGTTGGGTCGGGAGGGGTGGGGGGGGGGGAGAGGCAAGTTGCCCGGGTAAATAAATAAGATATAAGTTTGTTCTATTCCAAACGATTTTGCCTCATTGCCAATAGTCAATCATACTCTCGCTCTTTTGTCCACTTTTCTATTTTTTATTTTGTCAGTTTGACAACCCAATAAATTTTTTCAAGGTTGATGTTTTAATATCTTTTTTCTTTTATTATGATAGGCTTCAACCTAATCAGCCTCTGGCGCTAGACAACAAAGATGCCGTGGAAATGTTTCTAGATGGTCGATTTCCCTCCTTGGCAAAGACCGCGACTGACATAGCAGTTGTGGGCATGTTTTTGGATAGGAGTGACAAAGGTTGGTTCTTGACTGAATCACTTTGGGGCCCTCAGGGTAGCGTGCTTAAGAGAGAGCCCAGGGTTCGAGACCTGGCCAGGTTACTGGGCTGTGTTCTCGGGCAAGAAACTTTACTCTCAAAGTGCGTCCACCCAGTCTACCCCCAAGAGTATAATTGGGTATTATCGATTTGTCAAGAAAGCTTGAAAAAATACTTAAAGGGGAGGGGGGGAGCTGGGAACCTGCCTCTCTCCACCCAGTCCACCCCCGGGAGTATATTTGGGTGCTGGCAAATTGTTAAGGAAGCTTAACAAAATGCTGAGAGGGGGGGACCTGCCTCTCTCCACCCCAGGCCACCTCCAGGGGTACAGTTGGGTACTAGCGAATTGTCATGGAAGCTTGACAAAATGCTGAGAGGGGGACGGACATGCAATACATTAGCCTCCCAACCAGAGGGAGTACCAATACTCCTTTTCGCTTAATACGAAAGTGACTAGGAAAACTCTAGCTGGATGAGCCACTTGACACAAGCGCAGCCCTTTTTTCTAATAAACTACCTCAATAAAATTCATGTCACAGTTCTAATCTAGTGTGCTGCCTTCTTTTTTTAGAATTTGAAGCGTTTGAAGCTGCAGCTAAATCCCTACACGGCAAGTTTCTTATGGGTTACGTAACAAGCGAGACAGCGGAAACACTGTAAGTTCTTATTCCTATCTCACTCAATTGAAACCCACAGTGCTGGTGTCTAATGAGGAAAGGCGATTTGGTATTGCAAATTGGATCGTTCACTGAGCAACAATGTTTGATTAAGAGCAAGAGCGAACGGAGAGGGGAAGGAGAAGACCAATTCGAGTTTTTCTTTAGCTGGGATTGCATCACTGCCATCTCTTCAGGCATTAATGTTAGCTAACTTTTGGTTACAGATCAGCTGAATACGGCCTGAAGCTGCCCGCCATTATGGCGTATAAACGAAATGATCCATTCAAATCAGTGGACGTATTTGAACCCAAGTTCACCCCACAGGCCATTGTTGATTTTGTTCTAGGCGCAAGCTTGCCGTCATTTGTAAGTATTTGAGGTGGAATAAATAATTTGAGAGAACTATAGACAACAACATGAGTAAAATTTCTCTAGCGGAGATGTCTGTCCCAAATTTATTCGTTTGTTTCGGAAATTGTTATGGTTATGATTAACTGATAATAGGACTTTGTGTCGTACAATTCTGTTTGTAATCATACTCGTGATTACAGACAGAATTGAACTCCACTCAGTCCTATTATCATTATTAATAAACCACTTAGGATTTTGCACTTGCGTTACACGAGAAGCACTCGTTTTCAGCCGATCAGAAGCGCGTAATTTTTTCTTGTGCATTATTACCGATGCAATACACGATAGATTTTTTACCAATTGGCCAGTTGGGTGTTATCAGATACTTCCTAAAATCCATTATCACACATAGAAATCGATGCGAGTTGTGTAATTTTTATAGGAAAAATCTTCTAGTAGTTCAGGTCTTAATTACAAGACAGGTTCGTGTTCTTTAGTTCATTTTGTTTACCAATGCATGCTGTTGGGAGTCTTTCTAAATTCAATGTTTGTGATGGAATAAATAGCGAGTAGCATATCCAATCGCATTGCAGCATTTGTGATAGACCACTGGTAGATTTACAATGAAAGAATATATAACTTTTGAAGGTAAACTCATTTTTGTAAGTAACTAGCGTTCATTGTTACTTTTTGTGCTGCAAGGATAGAAAATTGCAAAAACGAGTTTCCAGCTGAAATTCCAGTTGTGAAATTCACTGATCTGAAAAATCAAACCCTCGCAAAACTTATGTGCTACTTGACGTAATGACTAGTTTTTGATATTCCTCTTTGCAGGGTGAGCTGACACCTTTCAATCTTCCAACATACTTATCATACAAAAAGCCACTACTGATAGTTTTCCGAGCTGATAGTGAAGACTCCGTCATAACACCTGTCATGACAAGGCTCGCACGCGACAAGTCGCTGCCATCTATTTTCCTTTGCTGGATGCCCGTGTAAGTAACTGCATTTTTTCAGTTTTTTTGTAATCTAGTCAATAAAGAGAGGAATGGAGTTCTCACTGCGCTTGAGTTCAAGTTTGATGTTCGTCCCCGCTGTAATCCACGAGAATGCCCTCGTAACTATCGTTTCTACACGAGTGTTTCTTGAGTATTGCGAGTCAGCGAGAGGTCTGTCGGGATCTAGCACTGATAGTGCCAGATCTTTGGCAAACGTTTCCTCGACTTGTCTTAAGTCTTCCCTCAAGCGGAGAAACGCGCCTCTTGCAGCGCTAATGACTAGAGCATACTCGTACGCTATCATTACTTAGCTAGCTGCTAGGGTTTTTTTTTCCAAAACAAAACAGGCTTAAGCGAAAGTAGGATTGCAACAAATTATTGCGTCAGTTTCGAAGGTGTAACAGGCAATTTGATCATTCATATTTCATTTCCTTCGAATTCGCTTAACCGTAGCATAGAATACCATCACTAATGTACGCATGACATGCGAAAAATTGGTATGACTGGAAACTAGTAGCCAGTTAAACAAACCGGACGACTTGACAGCAGAAAAAGTCCTGTTAACAGGTCATTCCGCTCTTAGCACGTAGTGTCCGTTTGGCTTCGTGCTAACTTCTGCTGACTTTACGAAATTTTTAGTTAGCGACGAAAATATTTTTTGCGGCTCAGATTTTTTTTTTTTTGAGATGAAAAAGCAGTTTGGGTATTGTGGTGTCAGTTTGAATTACTGTGTAAGTTCTATGGAATTTTTCTTGAGATTTTGGTGGTGTGATTGTTTCAGATATTCTGACAAAGATGTAAACGCTGAAATCTTGAAGTCATACGCAGGAACCAGTGATTCTCTTCCCGCATTGGTCTTGGTGAATCACGAAAAGGTTTGTGAAATAGTTGTTTGAATAGAGATATTTCTATCGAAGTACATAAGGCAATCTGGGTTTGCTTTGGTTCTACTGCACCTTGTGATTCGTCGAAAGAACCCGCTCCATCCTTTCAACCAATCAGACGCAAAACAAATACCAACCGCCGATTGGTCACTCGCGTTTTCCCGCGCTTCAAGAAGTTGTGGCATCTCATTGGCTAATGATGATGTTAACCTTTGCTTTGATTGGTCGTTGTAGTCAGTTTTCCACACTAACTTGAAAAACTGCTGTATTGACACCTACACCAGTGATATGAGTAAAGGGTAAATTGTTGACCTCATACTGGCAGGAATTTTTCTAAATTTACCATTAATTTTTTTTTCAATTTTTTATTTAATTTTCATCTATTCGATTGTTCTTAAAGGGAACGGTGCATCTCTTCAAAAACGAAGTTACAAAGCAAGCAGTAAAAAACTGGGTGGAGAGCATTCTTACCGGAAAGGAGCAACCCTCTCGTAAGTGCTACAACATTTCCATGAAATTTCCCTCTTTAACTAATCGCCTCTGGTATTTCGTTTCCAAGTAAGATGGCTACTAGCGAGGCGTTCCGGCTGAACTGAGAAATTTCTAAAGGTTTTATTTATTTTTTTTACTTCAAACTCTGTACGTTTTTTGTTTGTTTCTTTTTGTTTTGCTGAACATCCTGGATTCGATTTTTTTTTCATCGCACACTTAACCGCTGCCTTGTTAGCTCAGGTGGTAGAGTGTCCCGGACTACCGTGCAAGAGGCCGAGAGTTCAACCCTCAGACAAGACCAACGCTCAGGGTCTTAAAGTAACTGAGGAGAATGTGCTGCCTTTGCTATGACATCGACAAATGGCTGGGCATTTTAGTCTTCTCGAATAAGGACGATACACCGTAGTTGGCCCCTTCTCCTGCATCCTCTCGGGGCTGGTTACCAGGGACGTTAAAATACCCACGTACCTCTGGCAAAGAATAGGGAGCGTGGTTCCCGGTTTTTTGCGATCTGGCTTTGTTATTGTTTGTACGGGCCGCCATTACTATCAGCTTAAAGCTAATTTGGGTCTGCCTGTCTAAATATGGCAAATAGATAAGTGAAATAAGTAAATAAATCACTTGCGCGCTTCAGCGAAGTTAAATTTACGTTTTAACCACAGGGCTCTTCGCCGATGGTGAGTGGAAACCGCGTTTGGAGGGATACGATTTCCTCCGAATGATAGACGAAGAGGAAGAGGAAAAAGAAAGACAACGATTGAAAAAAAAGAAAGTAGAACGAGCTCTCAAAGAAAAGGACGATATCGACGAAGAGGAACCAAATTGGTCACCACCGGAAGCAAACGAGGTTGAAAAGCGTGACCGGAAGCCAAACCGCCTAAGACGACCGGAATTAAGGATTACACGTCGAGATGAACTCTGATCAGATGTTTGAATGGAGATTATTTTAATTGATTGTTTGCATTCAGAAGTTTTACCTACTTATGCAGCTGGAGGCAAGCAGTTACAGATTTTCCCGCTAAAATCAACTTCCGGTTGATTTTAAGTACTGTCGTCTACTTGAATAGAAATTTGTAACGGTCAAATGCTTAATTTAATTTTACAGAATACGAATTCGAGATATAAATATTCCGTCTATCGTTTCTGTCAACTTAAATGTAGAAAACCTGTACAAATGAATGAATAAATATCCCCTTCTTGCGAGATTCTTAAGGGTTCCCTGTATCGAGAGGTACGTAAAGTCTAACTCTTTACACCCAAACATCAGTATGCATATTCTCCTTACTGTTCTCTATACATTTCCTAAGGTGCTGACAAGGAGAATTTGTTTAACAATCAAGAGCTTCTTTAGATGGTGATCATTTCCTTATTCTCATGATCAAAAAATATATGGTTCAGTAGTAGTGTTGTAAGGAGAGACTAGATGCTGGTCACTCTGGGTTGAAAAGGTACCCGGTGGGTTACGCACTCCATTGCGAAAACGTCGACACTTTAAAATACATGAAAAATAAGAGAAAATAGCGCTATGGTTACACATGTCTTAAAAATATCTATTATTCGGCAAAACTCCTATGCTTACCCAGCTTCACACTAAAGCGGAAAAAATGAAATAGAAATAAAAATGAAAAAAAAAATGAAAAAAATTGGATGAAACATTAAATCCCAAATTCTTATCTTAATTTATGAAATTTCAGGTTCGTTTGATACTGCTGTTGATAATAACTTAGAATCGCTATTCAATATCGTTTTAATAGTAGAATTTAGTCCAGTTTTTTTCCACAAAACATTGAAGAAGTATATATGGGGTGTTGTACAAGGAACTGGGGTGAACTCAGATTTCGCAGCGTGACAGGGACAGGGAATTAAAGCGCGGAAACAGTCATGTGGTTGTTATCCAAACAAATTATGTTTATTGGTGAACGAGTAAACAAGCACTGTTCATTTCCGATTGTTCCAACCGTCCTGAATTCGTAACCGCAAAAGATAGGATTAGGTGCAAATTGCTTTAAAGAAAAGATCACGACTGTGTTCTGTTGTCTTCCCATGACTTCAATTATTTTGTATTTCTTTTAAAGTCCATCGTGCCTAAAGTTTAGTTTTAAATTTCCATTTTACACTGAGTGGCTGCACATAGGAAATCTATGCGTCCCTGCGAAGTCACTCGTGACGGATCTGACAAGTTAGTCTGTTTTTTAGGCCACCTTCAGAGAACGTCTCCCATTTACCACCTCCGCCCCTCCCTCAACTCCCTTCCCCCTCCCCCCCGCCCCCTTCGCTGCCTCTCGCTTGAAAGCGAGATAGCTGCAAGTCTAAATTGACGGCTCAGTAACATCAAGGGTTAGAATGTTAAATTTCAATATTTTTTTTAAGGAGTCTCGCGTGGTTGATTTTTTGTTTTTCATTCGTTGGTGGTTTTGCATTTAATTGTCTTCCTCGGTTTTGATCCTAAATTGACACCCATTACACGACAACTCGCACTTAAAGCGATAAAAGACAGGAAACAAAGTTTGCGTCTATTATCAATATTACGAGGCGAAAAAGTTCGTTTTAATTAGCATACAAAACTGATCTTGTCGTCAAAACAATCGTTGCCTCATTTAAAATTTAAATAGAGACCACTGATAAAGAGAAATGCCGGATTGAAATGACTGTCGTGAGTTTCTCCGGACCTGATTTTAATCCAGTTAACTTCCAAGCGGAAGTTCTCTTGTTGTCGAAATCATGTACAACACATGACACATTTTTTTCAACGTGCGAGGTGGTGAAAAGATAAAAGCTTAGTTTAACTTTCCAAAGTGGTTTTGTATCAAGGTTGAAGCAGAAGCACAAAGCAGAGCTTGAGCAATATTCGCCATTTGCTTGTCACGCAAAATCTGTTCACCATGCCTCGAGGGTGACGACTAATTAATTAACCGCGGAAATCTGTCTGTGTTAAGAAGAACCGTGGGAAAAATCACTCGTACTTCGAGGAAGCTTCAAGCTGAAAATCAATCCGATAGAACAACGGACTCCATTAGTAAAACTTCTAAAGATAAGAATAGCATGCGTGCTCTAAATGATTCAGACAATGCGCAAACAAAACCTTTCATATATTGCTTAATTATTTTTCAAAGCAACGATCGCCGTCAGAAATAGGTCAGTCTCAAATCTTAATCTTTGGCACACTAGAAAGTAAAACTCTTCAGTGCTGATATAACGGTTTAATTCCGTCTAAGAATGCAAAATTCTCAAGGAATTTTGTTTTTCGCTTCTCAAGTGAAATGCAAATTACAGTTTCCGCCGTGCTGAACTCCCTGGGGGTTTTCGCTTCTCGGTGGTCACACAATCACATTTTTCCACCAATCAGAAGCGAGAATTTCGGATGTGCCCGAGCCTGTCCTGTCAAAACAGAGCTCTTTTCATTCAGAAAAGCAATTTTCCATAACGGCTTCCGCTAACTGTAGAGAGCAAGGACTTCGCCGTAAAATGTGCCTATTGGGCTTGCAGGGAGCCAGAATTTTCCATCATTCATTGTGGTACGGCGAGTTTTGCGTTTGTTTAATTTGGACGACTTTGTGCGGGGTTTAATCACATATCCTAAAGCATGTGTATTATACTGGATTTCGTTATTGGTTAATTAATCTTTGACCACTCAAGCATCACACTAACCAGAACGTGTTGTTCGGCGGTCGAGGAACGCGTCGAAAAGCGTGGAACAGTCCGGTTCGGAAATGGAGCGACATTTTTTGGTAAGTTACACATTGAATGTTTTACCTCTCCATTAAAAGCAGATTACTTTTGTTATTTGCATATAATTTGCCAAAGAAATCGAAAATTCCTACTTAATATGCGGAAAGCTTCACGCGCTAAAAAGCGCAGTGTGATTTTGCGGTGAAAAATGCTCGTTGTTCGCGGAAGAATGAAAGATAGTTTTAAGTAACTTTTGCCGTTTGTTGTTGCTAAATTGACTTCCAAAATCATTCCTTCTCAACTCACGCAATCTGAGATTTTGGAGGAATAATGTCAGGGTCAGAAGAGTGAGTAATATACAAGCTGTATCGTTAACATAGTTAACAACATATACACGAGATTCAACATTGTTGTTATAAACTTTTCGTTCGACCTGTGTCGGATATCGGTCGGCCGGAAAAAATAGTCATAACATAAATAGATTCTGTTACTTCCTTTGACTAAAACAGAAACACTCTTTTGTTGTTTGACGAAGATCTTCACCGAGGTTAAACTATTCCATTCGACTGAATCTATTTTGAAAGAGAAAAATTTCATTAGTCAGCAGTTTTGAGAGAGGTTGTGAATTCGATTTCTCGGAGACGTTACAAAGCGCTTTGTGAATCCAAAATGATCGCATATAAACCTGTTTTGATGTCTTTGTTGTGGTAAATCTTATGCGGCAGTAAGACTTAAGGAAGTTTGTCATCTTTTCGTGGTAAATATAAAGTATTAGTGGCGTGCTGTGCCATGTGATACGTGAAGTTTCGATGTACCCCGAAGCAACGCGAAATATCTCCAGTTGCTGTTGAAATAGATCGACCCTTGTCGAAATGTTATCGGTTAAAATAGATTATTATAAGGGCAATGGATGATTCATCAATTTGTCTAATGTTTTCCATCAAATTTCATGGATAGATTTTGAAATTATATGCATGCTTCTTTATTCGAGCGATCGGGCGAAAGTTTTTTTCGATAACTGAACATATATATCATTCGTTTTTTTTTTTTTACTGGCCTCGAGATCGTAATAACAGCGAATTACTTAAAAATTAGGATCAAGGTTATCAGCTACGCTAAGAGAGAGGACAGACAATAAATCAGTCCTTTAGAAACTAAAAATATCTTCTATCCAAAGTGAATGATGCAAGTGTCATCTGGTGCAATGCATTTGGTTAAGTGCTGTCTTTACTGAGGAAATATCGCTTTTATTTTCATCCATCGAAGGTTAGAGTTGTCCGAACTCTTCGCAAGTAATTTCCTATGGTTGCATCAGAAATCGTTTAACTATTTGCTAATGATATAACAAAAGAGGTAACTCGACAGTGACAAAACACTCATTTCGCCCCGCTGTTTCTGTCGGTTGGAGAAGAATACAAAAATTGTTTACCTGTCCGGACGCATTTGTCGTTATTTTCAATGACAACATCTTCGAAGCCATATTTTTCTTTCGTATGAAGCGCAATCGCTCGATCTGTAGCTATGTATTATGCAGATTAACTGTAGTTATTTGATATAATCTTAAAAACATGCCTCCAGTTAGCAGACTTACAGAATACGAATAATTTTCGATAATCTTTCTCAAGTTATGAAAAAGAAAGTTCAAGAGGTGAAGTTTTCTCTGCCCGAGTGTAACATTTCAGCGCTGAAAATGATACACGAAATAGTTTAATTTCGAGGGCTATGTTTCAGTCGTTATCAACATCAGTTGCCCTCGACTGATAGTCGGAATGATGTCTGAATGATGTCTGAAAAAAGAAAAGACAATTTCGTTCCTTGCTTCCGGATTTGTTTTCGAGGAAAACAAACGTACTTTTTTCCGCTAATTCTAGTTAACCTTAGGTAATGATTTCGATGGCAAGTGAATTTTCTCTGAATAGTTTATAAGTGATATGAAATTTCAGCGAGTCAATCCAATTTGGAGATGTGTCGATTCCACGTGAGTACAATTCTCATGAACTCTAAGAAGCAACCGTTATTTCATTTCTTTGGAGATAAGGCGTTGAAACAGGTTGGATGTAGAGCTCTTTTGATTTCTTCTAAATTTACAGTCACAAATGGATACTAACGACATTTTCTCCCAATTTGTTTTCGAGAGTAAAAGTTTGTTTCCATTTTGCGAAAACTTTGCCGTCGCGAAAACATCCTAATTTCATTTATGGCGTCTGATACATTGTCTTAACCTTGCACCGACTGAAATAGATCGTAAAATGCAGCGAAAACAAGCAGTCATAAAGCGTATTCTTAAACTTGGAAAATGATAATTTGTCTGGATAAATTTTAGAACAGTTTACTAGTAGCCGTCCTGTATGTTCTCATCATATTTATGGTCTTGGCTTAAAGCATAAAATTTTGCTTGATATCCTGCCGTGTCCAAACATCCCAAATGGATACCGGGATAAGGTAATTTGTTTTGCAGTGACAGTATATCGTTTAAAATATTGGATGAATTCAGATGTTCTGATCTTCGTTTCAGTCGAAAGAAAAGCGCAAACGACAGCTTGGAAAGACAAATGACATCATATAAGTTTCAATGTAGTTATTGTGCTTTTTCAGTGGTAAAATCCCCCGTTTTAATTTGTGGGTGAAGGTTTAGCCGCAACATTATACTTGAGGTTTCCATTTGACGGTGACAGCACATTTATAAGGAAATTTTGAATTGTCAAATTGGACTTAGAATAACTAAAATTTAATTCCAAGATAGGAACATTTTGCAATCATCGTATTGCATCTAAACCCTAAATATATTTAATTTTATATATTTCACGTTATTCTTTAGGATTCGGTGAAAGAATATTTCAAGTTTGTAGTTTTAAACTTTCAATGAATATGCAATCATTCCATGGTGTATGAATATTACGAAACCTTTTTAGTTGTTATTTGAAACTCCACGGCGAGGCAATCAAACAAAGGTCTGATAATTCATTCGCAGAAACGACTGGTATATTTAGACGTTCATTCTTAATCTTTACACCATATTTTTTTGGCATGTACTTGAGCCAATTACTACATTTTTTAAAGATTTATTCAGCGGGCAACATTTAGTGAAAGTTGTAATTTCCAGCGAGCCCGAGCACATCTTCTGAGTCGCGCGCTCAGATTTGTTTATTTGGGACCGATTCGGAAACATTTATGATCCAGCATTGTTACATCACTGTGGTTTTAAGTACATAAGTAAACATTGTGTCCCTGTTTTAAGGCTTTTAAGTGTTTGTTTTTATTAGAATTAGGCTAAAGTAAATTAGTTTTGATCAGGAGAAACTAGCACAGTTTAAATCCTTTCTTTTCAAATCCAGAATTTTTAAGTTGTCGTCTGCTAATGGTAAAGATTTTGGGAAGAAAATTAAAACCAAAATTTGAAAAGTAGACAAAGACAAGATGACGAATTGCGGTAATTTTGCGTCGAGTTATGCAAAGAAATTTGCAAATGGTCTTTGAAAATCACGGAGGCACTTCGATGATGAATAATCATTTTAATTGGAACTTTTGGCGCGCTATGAAAAAACCCTCGCTCTTCGTGTCTCTGAACAGGTAGTTTTACATTTAAATGATCGACTGGTAAGATAAAATACTTGTGAAGACTAAATTTATTAATAGTAGAAATAAAGCCATTCGATTCTGCGCTATCGTATAATTTTTTCAGCCGCGTTGCCTCACTAAGACCTGAATATTTCAGCAATTATAACTTTACAGGTAGAAAGCAAATCGCTTCGTTAGTTCATTTTTTCTTTAAGATGGTTACGTTTTGCTAAATTTAGCATTGGGTTGCAGTTATAATTACATATTTTGATAGATTTTTACAAATAAATTAGATCCTATGTCCATCATGAGTCAAACGAGAAAAAGGGCATCATGCCAGATCTATTCTCCGCCATGATTGTTCTTCGTATCAAACGCACATTTTTCGATTACGTTCGTGCTTTTGATCTGTCTTCTTTAGTTAAAACGGTCAGGCTTTCTTATCGAGTTGTAATTGAAAACGAAATTTAAATTTTTGTGCGTGTGTTTGCCTCAATTTGAAGAATTTAACTTAAATACGCGGGTGTAGTTTTGTGTTCAGCTTGACATAAGTGTGAAGTGAATAGTGCACAAGCCTCCACATGCCCACGCCTATTGCATAATCAACTTGTTCTTGGTTGGGGCTAGCACTGCATTCGAAATTGAAAACATGAGTCGCCGGCTGAAAGAAACTGAGCTTTATTTTCACCTGATTGCAGTAAGTAAAGATTTTGAACTTTTCGGACTCTTTCTCAGTATAATTTTGCTCTGCCATATTTCTTCGATTTCGATTTGCGAGAGTCCCTCTCGTCTCCATGAATGCACAATTGAAACGTGTGCTCGTTAATTCGAGATTTGTACGGCGAAGGACTCGCACAGTCTAAAGAGAGATTGTTTCATATGTCACGAAACTGGAAAAACGAAGAAATACAAATTTCCCACAAGGAAGCGAACTAGAGATCCTTTGTATTTCGCGCTCTTCTAATCCTTCTCTAAGCTGTAGAAAACTGAGCTTATTCGATGTAAGGTATATATATGGCGTTCTTCCGATATCCTAAAGCACAAAATGGTGAACGTGACCTTCAGATTGCACTGGGATCGACATCCTAAGAGATCTGTCACAGCCTCTATAGTTATTTAAAGACGTACTCTTTAATCTCAACTTTATTCATCTTCGTTAAACATAGAATTTTCTTTTATTCATTTGAAACGCTAGACGTGGGTGGTCGTGAGACTAATTCTTTTTAATTCTCTTTAGTTTCTTAAAAGTAATACATCAAACATTACAAGGAAAAGCGGATTTAAGGGAACAATAATTGTTTGGGTGAAGCAACGAAAAATGACTTCAGATTTTAATGAATCAGCGGGGAGGGGAATTTTTTTATATTTGCATGCAGTACGGTAATTGGCCTCTGCAACCACATAATCTCTGGTTTCGTACTAAGTTAATTAGTTAGGTTAAAATATTGAAACATTTTGAAAATGTTTTCGTCAGTGATTTCAATTTTTATCTCGATCTTTTTTCACTCAATAGAAATCGTCTGGAATATATTCCGTTGCTATAAAATAAACCAGGTTCGTGTTTTTTAATGGAAGGGCAACAATTAGTAAAGTGCATTTTTATTCAAAGCTAAATCGAAATCGATTGAGAACAACAACGAAATCACAGCAAGACGATATTTTTCTCGTCAGTGAGGAAGAAAACAGAAAGAAATCTTTGTCTCCCCTCGAGGAATCGAACTTCATACCGACGAGTTCCGCGATCTGTTGCCTTACAGTGAAACTAAGCTGTAAACGAAATCAACATTTTTGTCGTTACAGACGGACCTTTCATTAAGGGCAGTATACACCAACTCGCCCATTCATACTTTAAAAGACTCCTTCGTGTTGTTAGGATCAGCCATCGAAAACATTCTCCCAGTTATGAGATCAGTAGTGTAATAAATCGAATATAACATTCAATCATTTGTCCAACAACAGGGTTTAGCTCTGACCACGTCTGATCACGCAATCACTACCACGTTATCACACACCACCGTGCGATCACGCGATTACGTGCTTTTGGCTCGTAACCACTTAGAAAGAACATGAACGCGAAGTCTCTGCCGCTTTATACATCACTGTATCCATACCAAGGGAATTGAAGACTGTCTTGAAAGCGAGGGTGTGGTGTGCCTTTGTATCTCCTGCTTCGCGCTCGTCTCGCACGCTCGCTTCTTATGCGCTCACTCCTCGTGCGTCCTCTTCTAGCGCGCTCATTTGAAATTTTTCCGAAAGTAAAAATTTGCAATGGCCGATTTCATCTGAAGTCGATATTTCGTTTCTTTCCTTAGATTATTTTTGCCCTTTCTGGTCTCTTGGTATATGCGTTAGACTGCCCTGACAATATGTACCAGAGCGGCTCGCTCTGTTGCAAGTACTGTCCGGTAGGAACATATATGACAAAGACCTGCAACGTGAGCAAAGGAAATTCTTTTTGTGAATCATGCCCGGTTAGTATGTTTTATTTGTTGTTGTTGTTATTGAAAAACATATTGCAGATATTTTTAGCTTTGTAAAATTTTAGCTGATGTTATTATGCGTTGTCAATCGTTTGCTACGATCGGCGGCAAAATTCTCAGAACTGTCCAATGTTTTTGTTGTTGTTTCTAATGCTGTTGTTGTTGTTGTTGTTTTTCCGGCGAAGTAGTGTTGATGCACGCCTCTCCCTCCCCAGCCTCCAGACAATTTTAAGTTGACTCTTGAATTTTATCCAAGTTACTTGGGGTTGCATTTTGGCATCGCTTTGTTGTTGAGGGAGAATGGGGGGTGGGGGAAGGGGGGGTCCCCAGGATTGCTATACACATAGAGCCCGTCCTGGGAGGTTTTTATTCATCTCCCTAACTATTCTCGTTATATTGTAGATTTATAAATCATACCATAATTGTTAGCGTCTCTAAGATCAATAAGTCTTGTGTTGAATTTCGATGGCGCTCAAATTGTTCACCAAATTTCTGTGTTGGCTCATGAACAATGATTTACGCATCATGGGGTAATGTGTGGATGACTTCTGGTCCATCCTTTGTGTGATAGATACGTAATGTCTGCCCCCGAGGGAAACGGTTGATCTTTTGCAGAGGCTCTCAAGGTTTCCCGTGTCCTCGCTCCAAAAGCTACATTTCACACATCCAAAAAAAACAAAAACAAAAAAAATCAACCAGTTATGGTAGAGTAAAAACTCTTTTTAGAGTTCTCTCCTCTCAACTTCAGCTTCGAAGAGGATGTATGGAACGAAGAAAGGACGTTTTGACTATCCACCAGCGCGATTTGAAGTATTAAATCGTTTGTTGTACAAACGTTGTTGCATGAAACCAAATCGTAGCTTCATTAGCGGAGGGATAAACAAGGTCATTTTTTTTTCTCGATCATTTTTCAGAGTGAAACGTTCATGGATAAGCAGAACAACAACAGCAAGTGTAAGCAGTGTCAGAAATGCCCACCGTCCCAGACGGCCATACGGCATTGCAAGCCAATTCACGATAGGGAATGTGGATGCCCCCCCGGAACGTACCACGATAAAGAAGTCTTGATTTGCTTAGAATGTCTGAAATGTAACGTAGGCTACGGGGCGGTGTCACCCTGCACAAATATAAGTAACACGGAATGTCAGCCCTGTCGGGAGGTACGTGTAACAAAACTCGATAATTTGTCCATCGTGAAACAGTTATTTTGTTTCCCGAGGCGGAGATGAACATTTACCGGTAACAGTGCACTGTTACCCTCCTATGCGACAGATTTTGCGATATTGACTGCTCAGATATTGCCCCTTGCGGTGAATAAGGACTAATCCTTAACCCTTTCACTCCCAAGATCTCATGAGTAATTCTCCTTACTGTCTGTCATACAACTATTATGACGTTAGGTCGGAGAATTTTATATTGGATCAACTAGTAATCCCCTGATTGTTATTTTTCTTTATTCTCATCACTTTTATGCTTGATATTGTATTGATATTGTTGGGAGAAATTCTCTCTCGATCACTCATGGAAGGTAGAGGGTTAAGCATATAACTTCCTGATATTTTTTTCCTTTTATGCAACCATTCAGGGAACATTTTCTGATCGCGTCAGTCACGAACAGGAATGTTTGAATTGCTCACAGTGTGATCCAGGCGCAGTGATTAAGGAAGAATGCACAGCAACAAGGGACACAATCTGCCAGAGAGCGAACAATTCACGGATTTCTACTGTTTCCCAAGTTGTCACTTCGGGTATGTTTTCACGTGTCACGAAAATTACTATGAAAAATTGAAATCAATTTCAATATCTCAGCGACTGCGCACCTACCCGTCCCCTAACCCAACAGTAACCCTAACTTGTTTCCCTTTAACTTTTGTCGAGTTAAGGGAGGGGGGGGGGGGGGCAGGTGCGCGTACTTTTTCGTTATATCATCACTCTTGTTCGGACCTAGCTTGTTCACGGTCATGATATCCAATAACTGACCAATATCCAGCTATCTTGACCTCACGTTGGGTCAGTAACGCAAATATATACTTAAGCTTTATTTCAATCATTTGCAGTCTCTCGAGCGCCTTCGGCACCAACCAATGCTGGACGTTCATTAAGCCCCGTAGAGAAAGTAACATCTAACTCCATAAGGTATATCATTGGCATTGTTGTCACTGTAGTGCTCCTCGTTCTAATTGTTGTGGCTATTTACTGTTACTGGAGGAAACAAAATCGGCATGAAGGAAACCAGGCTCATAACCCTCAAGGTAAGAAGTAAACATATAAGTAAACATTAGGGCTCTTATGCCAAACAGAACGGCGACAATAACGAGAAAGTTGCGAATCAAACGATTTACTGAGGAGGAAAATAGCACCCCACGTGTTTTTTTTAAAACACGTTGTAGATTTCCTAATTCTCATCTGCCTAGCAACAAAGTGAAAACGACAAATTTTGCGTGGTCCGCGAACGAGAATCCTGACAGCAAATATTTTGCTTGTTTACCTGTTACTCATTGACACCGACACATATTAAAGAGGAGATCGCTATTTAAAACTGTTGGACGTGACGATGTTGACAGAATGCTAATTTGAGTTCTGCTTCCTTATTGACTGAGAGGATGACGCAAGTTTTCTCGACCAAACGCTTTGTGAAACCATGAAGAAACAATGCAATCCCTTGTTTTCGTCTCTGTGGAATATAACTCTGAATGAATTTTAATCCTAAGAAAATGCCATGAAAACTTGCAGCAACGCGTAGCTGGTAAAGTATGCTAAATGATGGACAGTTATTCAATTCTGACTCGAAGTTTGCCGATAAAAGCCGCCCACACACTCATTTACGTGCACCACGCGATCTCTGCTAAATAAATCACGTTTTCCAGAATACTTGACAGTCAACAGCGTTGAAAACTAGACTAAAGCTATATTAGAATGTCTTTCTTCTTTCCTCTGGCTGTTATCCTGAGAGTGACTGAGAGACAGAATCTTTAACAAATTTGCTGTTGTTGTTGTAATTGTTTTAGAAATGGAGGAAGCGAAGTATGACTTTGTGCCGCCGACTTCATCGGAGACACCAGCTCACGCGCGATCCTCGTACGGACTTCGAGGAAGGCGGACGGTCTACTCCACGAGACCAAATAGTCATCAACGAGATTCTGACTCTCAGGGCAGTAGTGGCTCGTTACAGGGCGTCAGCGTTAGCAACGGCAAAAGTAAGTGTGTCTCAAATGGGAAAGAATTCGGTCTGTATTCAAAGTAATCCTTAAGGAGTTAGAAGAAGCGCGCGTGGCCGCGTGACACTTTCGTGACGATTCGCTCTGTGTGTGGTGTGACATTTTTGAACTAGACAATTTTTAGTTGATTATTTTCCATAGTTCAGATATTTTTTTGTCCAAGGCCTGTTGCTATTTAGCATTTCCTGTAATCCTATTCGTGATCGAAGTAATTTTCATACTTTGCATTAGTTCTAACTGGATATTACAATGTGTGAGAAACTAAAGGATTGTTGAAGAACGCATGGGCATCATCTACAATCCAGAACATCTGCAGACAAATTTGAATAAAGAAGGAATAAGGAAGAACCGCGACAAAACTAAGTTATAGTTCACGCTAGATTTAATGTGAAAAAACAATAATTCAACTCTATTCCGACAGAGTCATGTATAATCGTATCATGACTTTAACACAGAATAGGTTTAAAATATCATTTTTTCACATAAAATGGGCTGCTGGATCAAGAAATTTGTTCAACTCGCTGTATGCCTAATCGATGGTCTCCTTTGATGTCAGAGCGTCTTTCTATTTTAAATTCTTGGTTTCTTTTATGATGCATACTTTCAATACTTTCTACCTTTTTCTTTTGTTTTGTTTTTGTTTTTTGTTTTTATGCTGTTTTGTTGTCTTTTTTTGTTTTTATGTTGTTTTGTTGTCTTTTTTTGTTTTTTATGTTGTTTTGTTGTCTTTTTTTGTTTTGCTTTGTTTTGTTTTTGTTTATTTTTCACTTCTCACTGTTTAGTTCTGTTTTTTTCGGTAATTTCTTGGTCTCGGCTCGCTACCATTTATTTGCTGTCAACCCTTTAACTCTCAGAGGAGATTAACATGAAACTTTTCCCTATAATATCTCTACATCATCCAGCAAACAAGTGATGAGAATTCTGAAACTTATCGAGTAGATTTTTTTATCCCCATCTAACACCAAATTCTCAAAACTAATAACAAGGAAATCTGTTACAGCTAGAGGGAAGAATTGACAATAGGATTTTGGGAGTTAAAGGGTTAAAACTTACCTTCACCACTAAACACTGCAATTCTCTGAGGCGGGGCGAGGAGTAAAAACTGTTTCATTGAGCAACAGCAAAAATTGAATTATGCCCCGGCCACAACTCCACCGATTACAAAAAAATGACGGTCTCTTGGTGTTTAGTTTAATGAGAAAACACGAGAAACCAAGGTGGAGATTAAAACTCCTTAACTTCGAACGTGTACCGCTGACCTGCGGAGTGGTGCCAACCTTCGGATTTTCGAAGTGAAAGTCGTTTTTTTTATTTGAACTCCACGCTAGAGACTGGACCTTGTGTCATTTATTGATTTTTAACGGAAACGAACCTTAACCCTTCCAAGGCGAAGGCTAACCGTAGCATGTCTCACCCCTCTCCCCCTGAAGTCTGCAAATTACCTAAGCTAATCTCATAACTGTATGGGCACCTGCGACCTCTCCTCAGACCTCCCGTATCTACCAGCAAAATGGTACTTTTTGTAAGTCTCAGAATATGATAATAATATTTTTGATTTCTCTACCACAGGTAAAACGTTGGTTCGGGACCTTCCCGCTCATGTTTTCATCGAACTTGGAAAGTTTTTAAACCCCAAGTCAAGCAAAAACTGGGTGACACTTGCGGGATACCTCGAGTTTACTACGAATGAGATAAAAAACTTTGAACTTGAGGTCAACGAGGCTACTCAAAACGTGCTTTATCAATGGGGACAAAAAGATAGTTCCACCGTGGATTTCCTTATCAATGTATTGAAGAAAATGAAGAGGGATGACTGCGTGCAAGTTCTTAAGCCGTGGGATAATTGATGAAGCAGAAGGAACTGTACGTGAAAGCGAGGAGAAAAGGCGTTTCTCTCAGGTAGTCGCCCGAAGGTGGAGCTCTCTACTATCGAGATGGATTAAGCGGAAAACTTGAGTTGGACAATGTTAAATGGACGCAGAGTCTTGGATCGTGAATGAAAGGTTATTAAGTCGTTTGTTTTGTTCTTGTTGTAATTAAGGTAGGTGTGGTTGTTCCTTTTTTTTCCATGAGCGGTTTCCGATGGTGTAAAAGATGTCTGTGCGCGAGAAGAAGTCACAAAGCGAAACTTTAACACGAGCGCCTCCCCGCCGACGCGGGTGGTAAAATCTTTTTAGGCCGATTTACGCCGTACGACTTTGTCGCGTGCAACAAGCCCACGACAGGCCTACGAAACGAATTATTTCGTCTAAATCAAACCTGCAACTTGCTTTCGACTGTCGCATACGTTTCAAAAATGTCGTAGGATTTGAAAAACATGTTTTAACCGCTGCGACAACCGTAGCCGAAATCGATGAATATGAATTATATTGTGAAAAATTTCGACTGAGTAGGGGAAGGAAAGTGAAGTTTTCTTGCATCATAATCACGGACGAAGTTGCTGCTGTTCGTTAGTTGTCGAATACAGAGCAAAGTTAGTTGTCGAATACAAAGCGAAGATAACTTTTTCAGAAGAGTAGGCAGAAGTTAATTTCGCTTAGGAGTGAAGAAGAATTCCTTTTCGAAAGCCGGCAAGTTTTTGTGAGAGGGAGAGGAATTTTACGCAATTTTGGCTTGTGCACGTGCAAATGGCCCCAAGGGAGTATGGAGTGTTGCAAGCTTGTTGCATGCGTCATAGTTGCACCGTGTAAATCGGCCGTTATAAGTAGCAGTAGAGCACTGGTAACCGGCTTTTATTTCGACCCATTATAAAATTAAGGTCATGTTTTATTGGGATCAAGGCTTTCAGTTTGGCTGAGTTGTTTGAAGGTTTTGGCCTTTTTCTTGTAGGCATCAACCAAAAAGAAAGAAAGTTAAGAGAAAAAAAGTGGGAAATAAAAAACACCAGTGGCAACCGCTGTCACATTTGGTGCCTTAACACTTTAAACCCTAAGAGTGACTAGCATCTAATTTCTCCCCACAATATCACCTACGGATCATGCATTAAGGTCATGAGAATATAGGAAATGATCACCAACTAGAGAAGCTCTTGATTGTTAAACAGTTTCTCCTTGTCGGCACTTGAAGAAATGTATAGAGAACAGTATGGAGAATATGCATAATGATGTAAGGGTGCAAAGGGTTAACCCTTTCACTCCCCAGATCTCATTAGTAATTCTCCTTACTGTCTGCCATACAAATCTTATGATGTTAGTTTGGAGAATTTGTTTTTGGATCAACTGATAATCCCCTGATTGATATTTCTCTTTCATTCTTATCACTTGTCTGCTTGTTATTGTATTGATATTGTAAGGAGAAATTCCTTCTTGATCACTTATGGGAGTTGAAGGATTAATTCGGCTGGTTTATCGTCACATCAATTTCAGTCACCACAGCATCTTATTCTCAAAGTTGGGTCAGAAGAGCGCGACATGACGATCACGGTCGCCATGTTGTCCTCCTTCAACTCGTCAACGCGGAGAAGTCTGGTAATGAGTGGAATTGCCTCGTTTCAAACAAAAATGGTTGATTAAGTGTTCTAACGCTTATATTTAGAAAAAATTTGGTTTCAGTTAAAGCGTTTGATTCCCATGGCACACGACCTTATTGTATGCAAGAGAAGGCCAAAGAGCGAAGGGGGTGGGGTGTGGGAAGACGTGAGGCAGAAATAAGAGAAAAAATGGCGCCTTACGAAGAGATGAGACAATTTTCATTCACATTGAGCAAGATACCTGCTCATCTTTTTCACGGGCCTTAGATCTGCAGATTGCTGGATAAAATGTCATGGCAGTGAAAAGACTAGAACATTAATGATGTAGGATAGATATATATATAGTATTCAAAGTTGTTACGGTTCAGAAATTTTTTCTTGATTAAGCGTACGTTTCTCCTTGGTAAGGCGGCACATCAATTTATTTGTCTACCAAAAGAGTAAACTTCTTCTTAGACTCTTTTCGTGTTTAAGATGAATGAAGCACAACAGGTTTTTAATAGTGTTGGCACAGTTCTTTGATGTCACTACGACTGATTCTACGACGTGATATTTCCTAAATTTGTGTTTCATGGAATATTTCGACATTTGACGACATTGTTTCTTTACCATTGGATGTCGGAAAATTGAGCCTAAGCTTTGCATATTGCAAATTCGAATTCGTTTAATTGCGTTGAAGTTGTATAGGGGACACTGACGTTCTGTCTGGGTGGTGATTTGATTTTGAAATCAAACCACAACAATTTCGTTCTTAGGCTCTCTCTACTCATTTGGTTGAGGTTCTGGGAACGAAAGTGTGACAGTGCCGGTGGGAATTGACAAATGCCTTTATAAGGAGAACCGTATGTTTGTTCAAGAAAAATGCAGTTGTATATAAAAAGAATCATAGTTTATACTGTAGTTGGTAATGTAGATATACATACGCTGTATGCATGCGATTCGCCTTTGAAATATCATGTCAGTCACTTTAAAACACTAAAGTTCGTGTCTATGCGAAAGGCTCTAAAAAACACGGATCTAAGTAAAACATGCATGTGCGTCTCACTAACCGAGTTCGAGGTTTGTACTTGAGTTACGGACCAAGTTTTTTCTGTTCAGATTTATGGCCCAATGCAAGGAAGATCAAAGTGCGCGTGCCATAAATCCGAGGGAAAAACGAGTTTCTGTAACTTACAGGAAGGACCTGGAAAACGAGGTTTTAGTACGATATTTATCATATCTCTGGGTTCAAACATAGAGGAAAGATTTCAATTCATGCAGACATTTGAATTCAGCGGGCCGTGTAGTGAAAAACGGCCTGCCTAAATTGACCAATCATAACGCACGTACGAACAAAGTTATATGATAAAATAATTTATGCCATGCTATGCAATTCGCGATCGCCTATCACAAAATTGAACAGTGTAGGTCAAAAGAGTTTGATATAAATGATAGTGAAGACAACGTAGAGATCAAGCAACCAGAACCAGTCATTAGTTATCGCCTGGGGGGGGGGGAGGGAGGGGGCAAATGATCACATGGTTTTCAGAGGGAACAGAGGGGGAATCAGTCGTCGCCGACAGAATATAAAGGGGGGAGGGGACTATAGAAAATGTGCTACCAGTTAACTGCTAATGAGAGAAAGGGGGGTATGATAAGAATCTTACAGAGCCTTAGGGGGGAGATCAGGTGAATTTTATGGAGACAGAACAAAAATCCCCCCCCTCCTCCACGCTCAGGCCATAAATAATGTCTGGTCAATAAGAATGTTCTATTGAAAGTGGTAAGAATTGAAATTCAAATGAAAATAGGGACTAATTAAGACAAAAAAATGAAACAAGTTTTAAGGTAATGGAAAAGAGAGTCATAGTTATAGATGTAAAGTTCCAAAGGACGTTTATTTTTGTACAGCGAATTCGGAGTGTAATATGTGGTTGCATAAAAAAAAAGGACGTATGAATATTTTTGGTGGATCGATGAATCTTTTGTAAAAGAGCTTTGTTTAATGTTTGATTCTTGACTGAGAGAGAGGTTTTTGAAGAGAGTACCTTTTTATTGATATGACAGTGATTTGCAATTTCAAGTAAATAAAAGTCAGACAAAATGACACCAAGTATTCTGATTGTTATGACAAGGGAACACAACTTTTTCACTCAACCCTCCCGCGCTCTGACTGCACAATGTCTGTCGATCGTTTGCGTTTTCATCTCATGTTGGTGTCTCGGTAAAAATATATCTTTAACTGTAACAATTCTATAGGGACGGAGGAGCTTGGGGACCGTAGGGGGGGGCTAGACAAAAGTTTGCTTTAGTAAAGGTACGTACCAAAAATAAAGGAGAAAGGAAAAGAAAACGAAGCCTGTCAATCAAAGCGATCGGTCAATTCGCCACAAGCCCGAACACGCAAGTGATTCGAAAGCAAATTCAATTTTACTTGGTTTTATCAACTGAATTTATACAATATAACTTGGCCACTGTAAGGAGTTTCTAAAGCTGACATTTGGAATGTTAGCCCTCGAGCGCTAATGCTCGAAATGTCATCTTTAGAAACTCTTTACAGTGGCCAAGTTATATTTTCAATTCAGTTCAGAAAACCAAATTATCTTGTTATACCTCCCACCAGTGCGACACCACAGTTTCTTTACAAACTTGCCCCCGCTCTAAATTCAACCCCCTCGAGTCATGCGCGGGATGATAGCATATATACCCCTTTATGTAAACTTGACTTCCACTCAAGGGTGTATCAGGGGTTTGGTGCATGCGTGTGTGTGTGTGTGTGGAGGCGAGTAAGGAGGAGGGGGATGTCAGAGAGAGAATATGCACCAGATGAAGGGTTTGATGACGGTGGGAGAGAGGTAGGAAGAATTTTGACCCCCTCTTTCTAAAATTGACCTCCCCTCCTGAGTGCATGATGGGAAAGAGAGAAGTGGGGACGAAAGGAGCGTGCGGAAAAATTGATAGTTTTAGGGTAGGACTCCTCCTCCTGCCCTTTTTGATTAATTCACGATCTTTTTTTTATTATACATGGATAGCTCTTCAGACGTGCATAACTTACGCTTGGTGTTTGGTTTTTGCGTATTTAGTTTGCTTATCATACTTTCCTAGGGTTCTCTTCGTAAAATGGCGGACGGTGTTCGAGCTTCGAGTAAAAGAACCCGTGGTTTGTATGTGCAGATGCACAACGCTTCCTCTTCAGATCTTGTTTAGGGAGGGAAAAACACTGATAGAATAACGGATTACGGCGGGCTCAAGACATCGCGTTTTTTTGTACTTTTCTGGGGCTTTAAAAATGGCGTAGCATTGAGGATTCTTAGGTAGTATTTGGGCTGTTTTTCGTCCAAGTTTGGAACCAATTTAGTGGCTTGAATGATTCCTACTTTTGCATCATAGACGAAGTTTAGCAAGTAAACAAAACAGTTCGATCTGGAAGAATATTCCTGTAAACCTGCGAAGTGGGGTAATTTTGGACATTTTATGCTCCCTTTGGACTGTTAATAAGAAAATGTAAGGCGGAGTGCGAGGATTTACGCGTACACAGAAATCATTTCGGGAACCACTTAAACACACGTAAAAGCACATAGAATATGCAGCGAAAGATTGTACTAAAAGTCGACTTCATTTTGTGATCTGGAAGAAACTGTCACCTCCAGCGGTTGTAACATAGGAGTAATTATTAAAAGCAGGTTAGTTGAAATTACACTGTTTCCCTTGTTATGAATTTTGCGACACGCTTGTAACGTAAGACCGAGTTCGTCATCGATGCGCGT